GAGATATGCTGTAAAAGGCGTTGCACCGTGGGGGCTCCGGAGCATGTCTCTCACAGAAGACCCGGTGTCCCTTACAGGTGGTGGTGGCCACCGGGGTGGTTTTAGTGAGATACGAATCCCACACTAACATAACATAACATCACGCCTTTTATCCCCGAACGGGTAGGCAGAGGTACACATTATACCACTGTACAATGTAACACCCACTTTTCACTATTTATGTTATGAGTCCCATGTAATGGTGGTGAACCTATTGCCATATACCGGGCACAATTCCAGACTCCGTGCTACTACTGAGAATATTTAAAAACCCAGTAATACTTTGCCCGACCCGGGAATCGAACCCGAGACCCCTTGCCCGGCAGTCGCACTTACGACCACTCGGCCAACGAGGCAGCCACCAGGATGGTTTTAGTGAGATATGAATCCCACACTCTTTTGCCAAAATACTAGGCGACTTTTGAAGGTTTCCCCCCGTCAAAAAAGGACTTAGCTAAGGCCTAGGTTCAATTTCAAATACGTAGTGTTGAAAGAGGTTACGGGAAATAGGTAGTCTCAAAGTAATAAATATCAGTAAGTGTATAAAACATTATCAGTTAAAATATATCTAATATGAATGTTGTAAATCGATAAGATATCGATCTACATCGCTATCTGGTAATAAATCTAATTGGTAGATTAACTTGTTTCTCATATCGGTATAATTATTTTATCGCTAAATTCACAATACGTATTCTGTTAGCTTATGAATAGATTCAGTCTTCAGATAATTCCAGAAATAAATAAGATATTTATCTATTTATAAAGTAAACCGGATATTTTCTTTTTTATAATACCTCTTTTATTGATGAAAAGATTAAAAGTTCGTGCCACGTGGCGGCAAGCGTCAAACCGAATTGATATAGATCGCAAGGGAGCCACTACGTGCAGGTCACTTCTACGTTAGCCGATCTGAAAGCCATTAGGGAGGTTATGTTCAGTAATGAACACTTGTGTCTAATATAATGATAATGATGACATATTTATAACAGTACTAGCAGAACTGAAAAACTTCGTTCCGCCCAAAATTTTTTCTCATCTTTCAAACCTTCCATGGACTTCCACGAACATTTCAAGACCAATATTAGCCAAATGGGTTTATCCGTTCTCAAGTTATAACGAGACTAACGAACGGAAATTAATTTATATTTATATATAGATCCTGGGCTTGTTGTGGTAACCCGGAGGTTTAGGACGGCGCTTCTGTGGCGCTTCTCATGCATAAGCTTCGCTACATGGATGGTACCAATGTGACATTTTCCGAGTTAAGATTAGAGTTACTTTCTATGATTATTTAGAATCTACTGACATAATTATGGACCATATGATGAAGAAAAACATCGTGAACAAACCTGGGTTGAAAATTTTCAATTATAACTTTGAAATCGCCAACCGGCATTGAGCAAACGTGGTGTTTAAGGCTTACTTACATCTTCTCCGTGTAAGAAAAGGCTTTTGCTCTGTAGGTAGGCACTTATCGTCTATTGATTTGCGAATCTTACAAAAGGTTAAACGAAAATACTAGCTGTAACAACATAAAGAACACTTTTGCCGCTGTACTTACTTTTTTGTTACATTCTATCTATTTGAGTTTTATATCTAGCCGTTTAGATGTGTCAAAGAAGTAATGGTCAGCTATAGCAAAAAAATTAACCGTTTTTTCTTTAAAAAAGTGGATATCTCTCGTTCTTTTGCTCACGATTCATCGTTCCACAAAAAATAATGCAATACAATATGATAACAATAGATGTGTAGGTCAATAGACACCTAAGTTCTTACATAAATAAACTTACTTTCACTGTATAGGTAGGTACTGAAAATTGGCAAAAAGTCAAAAGTTCTAGAAAATATTTTTAACGTTAGTTTTTCTGATCAAATGCTCTCAATATTATTTCTGGAATATGTGCCACCTATATACTTCGATTTTTGTATACGTTTTGTCCTTTTTGTTATATGTGTGTACAATAATAATAAATAAATATTAATTAACATTACGAAAGGTGTCGATAATTATATTATTAGCGAGTAAACACACACATATAGACATTTTTTCAGCCGAAGTCTATGTTATGTTTCTATGTAATAGGGCTGAGCCTAGCTACTCCCTACAGCTGACACAATATCAGACTTAATGAGAATTTTTGAGAAGAAAATAGTCGTTTTCTGAATGCAATTAATGGTATTTTTTTTGGGCAATTTTACCAATATTACCACGTAGATACTTACCTACTACGTAGCCGCGGCAACGCCCACGCAAAAGTGAATAAAAATGAGCAATCAAAATTATCAATGATTCTAAACACACAAATATCAGGGATGACGTATGTACAACTTCACGGAAACATAGAAGATAACATTTATAGCACCATTAATAAAATATCACTACTTCTTGTTAACTAAAAAGAATGCGAAAATAGTGCGTAATTCCGATTAGAACGTAGTTATTTTGTAAAACTAGCTATTGAACTAAATAGTCGAAGGTTCTAGCAACGATAAGTAATTGTACAAGGTGATTTGGTGTGCCACCCCTCGAGATTTGTGGGGAGCAATTGTTGAAGCAAATATCTTTAACTTTTCTGTACCTATTATTAGGTTACTAGCTTCTGCCTGCGACTTCGTACGCGCAATCCCGTTCTTTCCCGTTCCCGTTCGTGATTTTCGGTAAAAAGTAAAAAAAAAATCGATGAAAAAGTATACTTTGTTCGTCTCCTGGTTCTAATCTACCTCCCCACCAATTGTCATCCAAATCGATGTAACTGTTCTTGAGTTATAAGTAGTGTAACTAACACAACTTTCTTTTATATGTATATAGATTTTACAGACACCGGGCAGCAGCACCCTCTGATAAATCTGGTTTTTAATCTCTAACTGCGATTTTTATCCCGCATGCCATACTCGGAGCTTATGGCAAAATCTCACTGCATTATCCAGCAATGGACTGCGATGGACCATCAGTTGATTCTGAATCACTCAAAAAAACTTACTACGTTTAGGTAAACAAGTAAATATTAGGTCAGTTTGAAAAATATTTCTGCTGGTAGACGTTCAAAAGCACCTTCTATGCACGGTGTGTCCGTGCGTCACATTGTGTACACAAATATTTTTTTCTGGCATTCAAAATGATATCATTGCTTTTCCCCAAATTATTTTGTTTATTATTTCCTCCCGATAACAATTTATTGAAAAACGTAATTCCGAAATTTAGGTAGTATTATTTATAGACACAATTAAACGAATTTTATTTAACTCAATAAAATTTTACATTGCACTTGTAAATTTTTACAATACAATTGTTGTTACGTCATAAAGTGGTACCCTTTGTGCAGTTCTAGGACATTTCATTTATTTGTTCTTTATAACAATACTAGCTATCCAACGCAGTTTTACCTGTGTAATACAAATTCCTAAGAGCCGTAGAAACTTAAATAATATAAGTTACTTTGCTGAAAATTGAGCTGGAATACATTTTGAAGCCTACAGAGCCAAACACGGTTTTTTTTAAACTTAGCTTACTTCCTGAACAAAGTTTATTTATTTAAGCAACTTAGTTATACGCTGTATAGGTACCTATTTGACAAATAAAGTTGGAGCGTAAACCGTGTATACTATGTATGTCAACATAATCGCCCTTTGTTGATATTCTCGCCACATCTTTACACTCGCAGGAGAAAATGGAATTTCCAAAGAACAACCGCACGCTCAATAAATAAGTATGGGGAATAGCAATAATGCAGTTTGTAACAAACCTATAAAAAATTATTGGATATTCGTATCACTAGAGCGAATTTAAAAATATTGCATAATTCGTGTTTATACCATAAAAAATAATTACAAACTTGTTTATCGATGGGTAAATTACACCCATTAAAGTATAAGGTTCCCAATAGATTGACAAATTTACTACTTCCTATTATTGATCAAATTTTTCATTCACCAATAATTCAGATTCAAAGAACACACAAATCATCTTTATCATAACAAAAATTTACACTAAAAAGGAGTGATTTATCATAATAAAAGTCTTTACTCTGAAAACGGAGTGATATCACGCTCTCACAAAAAACCGGCGTGAATCAACGTTTATGTTCTGTTTCGCTAAGTGACCAAGGTTACCGGAGCCTGGAGCCCCAATCTTCCACCCAAATCTCTAAATCCCCGCCAGCCTCTCAAAGGGCTGCCAAAAAAGTTGTACCTTCTGTGGTATTGTGTGATCATGTGATCTGTCTTCTCTTTTCAACATCAGTCAAAGAGGTTGATCTATACCTTGAGACCTAGGCAGGTTAAACGATGATTTGTAATTAACAGCCCGTGGCAGTCCATGGAGTATGCCGCGAAGAACCTACGCCGCGGAGAACCTAACGGAGGTAGGACTGTAGGAACGGGGTGGTTTTTAGTCAGTAAGAGTCTGACACTCCCTCCCGCCACACCCAGGCGGGAGCAGTCATTCGATGATTTTCCCCTCTTAAAAAAAGTCCATTGAGTATGACTACATAAGACAGCCATGCCATACCCTATCTATACGCTTGACAGGCGAACTGGAGACCACGGTTTAAAAGGTTCAGGTTTATTTGAGAGCGCTGCAGCCCAGTCCAAAAATGTTATTGTGTAGTTCCCTTATAATTTCGGCTCGTATTACAACCATGTGAAGAGACGGGGTAGTCAAAAAATTCTACTCTGCCGACAGCGACATTATTAGTTGACTTTGACTATAATCCAAGTGGTAATCCCTGTCTGAAACCAATAATTAAAAAAAACATACGTTCACCTTTTCAAAATCGGTTATTGATTTATTTACGTGAAAATATTTTTTGCCAACACAAAAGAATTAAAAGAAATCCTATTGCTAATCTTTACAGCTTTGATTGAACTTCAAAGAGCCGGTGGTTTATTGCGTTTTTATGATTAATAGTTTAGTATGTGCACTCAAAACTCCCTATCGTCAATACTGATAAGATTTCTCGATGATGACTTGGTGTCACCGTATATATTCAAGAAGGAAGGGCCGATTTTATCAGTTGATACACCGTGTTGAGACATTCATTCATAGTTACTGGAAAACTAATTTCAATAATTTAAATGTAAGTAGTTACAAATAGGCAAAACTACACACAATAGTCATTTCTTCTTTCAATACATACCGAAAGATATACCCCACAAAGATATATCTTTACCATTTCCAGGCCAGATAATAATCAAAATAAATATAACTCTTAATTTTATATAGAGAGTGATGTACGTTATCAACAAATCTTAGTCTATAGTTGCCTACTATCTTTACTTCGACATGTACTAACACAATGTTATTTCCTTAGATGTTCTGGAGTGCAGTGATTGCGCTGTCATGTTTGGTGGCGTACGCACATGGTCATGGCCGATTGGACGTACCAGCAAACAGAGCATCTCTCTGGCGTACTGGCTTGTTCTCTGACGCACCACCCAACTACGATGACGACGGCCTCAACTGCGGCGGATTCTACCACCAGCATTCTGTTAATGGAGGACGGTGAGTCTTATTTATAAAAAAAGAATTACCTAACAACGAAAGTACTGGAAAAAAATGTATGTAGTGGAAAACGTGGACTCAAATCTATTTTTCTTTAGATGCGGTATTTGTGGTGATGCCTACGATAACGCGCAGCCCCGCGCCCATGAGTTAGGTGGAAAGTACGGCCAAGGACACATCGTCGCTACTTACGAACAGGGCGAAGTCATCAGCACCAAAGTTTATATCAGCGCTTACCATCAGGGATACTGGGAGTTCAGACTGTGTCTGGATCCTAGCGACCAAACACAGGAATGCTTCGCTAACTTCCTTCTGGAGTTAGAAGACGGGGGAACCAAATACTATCCGAAAGGAACTGGTTACTATGACGTGAACTACCGCCTGCCTTCGAATGTGGTGTGTGAGCACTGCGTGCTGCAGTGGAAGTACACGGCGGGCAACAACTGGGGCGTCTGTGCGGACGGCACGGGGGCCCTCGGCTGCGGGGACCAGGAGAACTTCTTCTCTTGCTCAGACATCAGTATTAAAGGAAGTGAAAGTATTCCTTTAGACGTACCAATTGTTAATTTAAACGGTGAGCTAAACCCCTAAATATTGGGAAAGCTGACGTGTAAGTGCTGATTTTAGTTTCATTATTATGATGATGTATTTGAAAACATCAAAGGCTCGAAACTGGAATCTTCAATTACTGATCAGTTTTCCGTGAGATCTCTTACAACGGTTGTGAAAAATACAGTAAAGAATTTATTATAATTTATTGATGCCATACATTATTGTAAGTTTTGTTATTAATTAAATTTTTGGTTTTATTTATGTGATTGTTTTGTACCAGTCAGTCATTATAAATAGGTTAAAATTAATGTAGCAGTCTGTTCTTTTATAGAAAATCAATAAAATTTGACCTTTCCTGTGGCCATTTGTGTTTCAAATATTGATTCCTTTCCTTTCAATAAGGTAGTTAAAAATTGGCATGACTTAAATATCTTTCAACATCATTTGTATCTGAAAACACTAATATCGTCATAAGTTACTTATAGTAACTATAACTTTGACTCTTACTGTAACTTTGACTGTGAATTCAATATTACATTTCAAATATTAGTTCAGTTGTTTAATGAAAACAAAATGATAACCTATTACTATTGGAAGAATAGGGATGATGACAGGGTTTGAAAATTAAAAATCTAATTAGTCAGTCAGTTAGGTAAAGAAAAAATATTAGACACGTATATTTTTATTTTGTCGTTTAAGAAAACAATACTTAGATAAAACTAATCAAAGTTTAGGGACTGGGAGGTAGCTACCTATGTCATTTTAGAGCATAAATCGTACATTAAAGTGACGTCATGCCATATTTCAAACCTGTTCAAACCAATATTGTTGAAACTATTCATTTTCGTAAGAATATAAAAAATACGTGCCAAATGTTTTTGAATAATCTACCAGACGGACATTAAAATAAAAATTAGGCATCTACCCTATTATAACTATAATTCAGAGATATATTTTTGTAGTGCTTATAACAGCGTTTAAAGTACCTATCTAGGTACAGTTTATACATACGATATACATATAGACAAATAATCACAAGTTGTGGGTAATAATCACAATCGCAGCTCACCTGACTTTATATAGCCCCATGGTTCCTCATGCATTGTAGGATTCAGGTGTAATTCCACTGTGTAGAATAGATACCAACTATTTATAGTTGAGCCAAGCTATCAGCATATTTTTTAAACGTTGCCCCACACTAGGATTTTCGCCTGTGTCGTGGGTGCGTTTACAAACATACGAGTTCACATACACATGACACCCAGACCCGGAACAACAATCTGTGGATTACACGAAGAGTTGTTCCGTGCGTGAAACGAAACCGCGACACATTGCGCGGCAGTCAGTTGCCCAGCCACCGCGCCAACAGTGCAGTCAATATAGTTGAGCTAAGCTTTCAGCATATTTATTTAACACTAGCTTTGGCTGCGTTCTCACGGGATAAGAAGTAACCTATGTGTTATTTCATAATATAATGTGGATACATCTGGTCTGGTCCAAATCTGATCTCGATCCCTTCAGCCATTTTGATATGATTGAATACCAAACATAGACAGAAACTCACAAACATACGCATTTATACTTAGTAAGACTACTATGCTTAACTTGAAAATAATTTTCGTTCTGCCAAACTAACAGATATAAAAGTAAAAAATAGTGATCTTGATTACGTCATAACATAACAACATAACATCACGCCTTTTATCCCCGAAGGGGTAGGCAAAGGTGCCACTGTACAATGTAACACTCACTTTTCACTATTTATGTTATGAGTCCCATGTAATAGGGGGTGAGCCTATTGCCATATACCGGGCACATTTCCAGACTCCGTGCTACTACTGAGATTTTAAAAACCCAGTAATACTTTGCCCGACCCGGGAATCGAACCCGAGACCCTTTGCTCGGCAGTCGCACTTGCGACCACGAGCCAACGAGGCAGTCGTTAGTGATTACGTCAATATTTGAAACTCAATATGGTCACTATAAAAATTCCTTCGCCACGTCTATACTTACGTTACAAACATTAAAAGATAATGTAATCTTCTATTAGTAAGAGTTATATTAATTTTTAGATATCCTGAGACTGCTAATATTGACGAATCAGATACAGGACGTCCGTCCGTCCTACAGCTACAGTTCATCGCGAAAGAAATATATGAACCGACACAAACGGAAGAAACTAAACAAGAAGACGAAGCTGAAGGCAAAACGAGGGCATAAAAAGGTAAAAATACTTGTTTAATTCAATATCATGGTGAAATACTAACTAACGAAGCATTATAAGTAAATAAGACTTAATAATGATAGTTACTGTAAAAAGTATGGGAGAGTCACGCTTCGGCATAAATGGGTCGTCTCGACCGGAGTAATACCACAGACTTACAGAAAACTGACGTGAAACAACGCTTGTGTATTTATTTATTGATTAACGCTTCATGCACAAAGAGTACATAAGGTGTAGTTAATGCCGCGTGCATTTTCTCCCAGACTAACCTTTAGGTGATGCAGAGTACTTAACGTCGTGTAGTATTTCGGCGAGTAAGTGAGGTTAAAGTAGGCCTATTTTTCCCTCTCCCTCTCCAGGCTCCGCAATCTTCAAATTCCCTATCCTGAAATTCCCAAAAGGCCGGTAACGCACTTGTAACTCATTTGGTATTATTTGCGAGAACAACGCTGCACGAGCGGCGCTGATTGCGTATGATCAGGTGATCCGTCTGCTCGTTTGCCGACCTATACCATAAAAAGTCATTCGCAAATTTTGACATTGAGCCCAGTATACATCCCTGTGGCATCCCTTATTCATTTATCTTAAATATCGTGCCAAACATCAACAACTGCTACAATAACTTCATACATATATCATTATACATAACATCACGCCTTTTATCCCCAAAGGGGTAGGCAGAGGTGCGCATTACTTAATGCCACTGTACAATGTAACATTCATTTTTCACTATTTATGTTCAGAGTCCCGAGTAATAGGCGGTGAGCCTATTGCAAGGCCCAATTTCAGACTCCGTGCTGCTACTAATAATTACTTTTAAAACCCAGTAATACCCGGCCTCGAACCCAAGATTTGCGACCACTCCGCCTACTAGGCAGTCAATATAGAATTTATTATTAATTTATATTTTATTCTTAATTTTTTCAGTTTACATATCATCGGTAGCGACCAGAGGTAGCGACGGTAGCCAAAGGTCCTGTCAAGATATGTGATTCCAAAGGATTCGTTCTTAGAATATCGTAGAGTATAATTTTCCAAAATATTAGATCTGTGTACACGTGGAAAGAGGTCAATAACTTGTTCGTTTAAGAAATTGTTCTGCCAAAACTAAATTGTTTCTATAGATATGGTTATTTAAATAGTTGTTAGTAACTTAAGGATAAGACTAAGTTTAAGTGGAAAGAGACTTGTTAATATGTATAAGCAGCCTAATGATCTGATAAAATCATCATGTAATATTGTTTGACTATTATCTATACTTATAAAAAAAGAAAAATGTGCTACAGTGTGTACATGTTTATTTAAACGTTCAGTGTTAGAAACTTGTCAATTGAAATAAATAAGGTATTCTATTCAACATACGACACGTACTTTTTCTTTTCTTACAAAATTAAATACCCTCGACGATATACAAGGTTTTTTTTTTAAAGTCGCGTCATTTCCTAGGAGGTAACTCGAATATCGATTCTTAGTCCGAATCAATAAAAAAATATTGTAGGTAAATATTTTACATTTTTCTGAAATTACGGAAATCCGTAAGTGGGAAGTACACTCCGCCGTCTTGTAACTAGATTTATAACGAGCTTAACACACACAAACTCAAACACGTAATTGATATTATTCCTAATTCCATAAAACTCCAATAAGAGACATTGCTGTTGCTTATTCTGAAATACTGATGAAGTTAAACGATTTACTATAGCCGTATTTTTAACTATTGGCCCGAAACTTTTTCTTACATTGAACCTTTATGACTTCTGTGACATGCCCCCGAGAAATGACACGGTTTCAAAACTACACCTTGTACATATATATTATTGATTTGAAATATCGTGTGACGTCACGATCTACTACATTTTATAGGGTAGCGAGATGTAACGACCTCCCACTCCTAAACTTAACTCCGTTTTATCTAAGTATTGTTTTCATATACGACAAAATAAAACAATATGTCTAATATTTTCTCATTGACATGACAACACTGTTAGTGTGGTGGCTGGGCAACCGGCTGCCACGCAATGTGTCGCAGGTTCGATTCCCGAACGGAGCAACTCTTTGTGTGATCCACAAATTGTTGTCTGGGTGTCATATGTACGTGAACTTGTATGTTTGTAAACGCACCCACGACACAGTAGAAAATCCTAGTGTGGGGCAAAGTTTTTTAAAAAAGAAAAATAATTATCTGACGGACTAATTACATTTTTAATTTTCATACAATGTCTACTACTCTATTAATATTATTACTCTATTAATATACCACTGACGAATGCATCATATTCTGCACACGTATAGCAGTCCCATAACATGCTTTACTTTAAAAGAATATCGCCTTTAGGACCTAACCTTTGATTTTTAATAGACCTAACACGTACAGACGCCGTGAAATCTATTTCGTTTTCATCCTGAAGTAAAATAGTTATATCTTGGTAATATAATAGTTTTACAAAGAAATAAAATGTTTAAAACAAATAGAGAACCTAACGGGTTACCGGGGCTCCGGCTCGAAGTACAGGAGAAGGAACGGGGTGGTTTTTAGTCAGTAAGAGTCTGACACTCCTTCTCGCCTCACCCAGACGGGTGCAGTCATTCGAAAATTTCCCGCCCTTAAAAAAAACCATTACAAAAAGTAAACCTCAAATTCGAAAGCGCATAATTATGAACTCATAGTCATCTCGCCATGTAATTTTTGAAGACGTATACCTCGTCGGGTGGCACGTGCGATGCGAATAGTGCCTACAAGACGTCTAGTGTTTCATGTGCGTATTTACTTGAAACCTTTTTTTAAACTAAAACAAATTCATCTTTATTTGTTTTTACTTTATGCATCGGAAGTACTCCTTATGGCAAGTTGTTTTGCCACGAGACGAAAACGAAATAGATTTCATGGTGAATACACATAGATAATACAGCAGATAACATAGTTATGTATGTCTACTCTATATCCAGATCGTCTTTAAGGTCCTCAGAGACCCAGTGACCAATATCCTTAAAGATATGACGCGTTCAAGTGGAATTCAGCAAAGTTTCAGCTATCTATGGTGGATATTTTTTTCATGTAAGTAATGTTCGGTGTCGGACCGCTATCTCGCCTGGAGGTATGCGATGATGCAGCCAACGATGGAGCACGCCTGCCCTTAAGCGACCTATTCACTCCGGCCTTGAAGACACCCAAATATTAGAATAAGCACTCAAAATTCCATATCGTCGATACCATCGCAGTTGTCTACTGATAAGATATCCCGATGATGACTTAGTGCCACCGTATAAATTCAAGAAGAGGGGAATAAGCAGCCAGTTGGTATACAGAGCTACGACATTCATTCAGTTGTTTACAAAATAATAACAATCATTCAAATGTAAGTACCTTTTTATTTGGGTATAATAACAAAAAAAAAAGAAAACACTAATGAAAAGCTTTTATTACGTTTGTTCGGAAAAATAACTAATTTATAAAAATGTCTATTTAACTATTCTTATTTAAGAGTAATTTCGAACCCGCGCCCTCATGCACGAGGGCGTGGGTTCGAAGTCTACGGCAAGTATCAATGTGAATTTTTCCGAGTTATATTATGTAGGTATGTACTTTCTAAGATTATTTACACACCACTGACAAACGGTAAAGGTAAACATTGTGAGGAAACCTGGGCTTATAATTTCTAATTATAAGTTTGTAATTGCTAACCCGCATTGAACAAGCGTGGTGATTAATGCTCAAACCTTCTCCGTGTGAGAATGTGCCTTTAGTCAGCAGAAGTCACTTATAGACTGTTGATGTTATTAAACAGTAATAAAAACTGGTTCTTAGAAAGTGATTTCTTTTATTTTTAATTTTGAATTTTAGTGTTCGTACACGTTTGTTTTGTTCCCACAAGTCTAAGACAAAATCGATCCATCATTACTATTACTTTAGCACTAAATTATCTACTTGGCAAGACGAATGAAATGAGCCCATACTCGAAGGAGCGATTATTCAATTTGTTTATCTGATGACATTTTGATGTCCTCATTTCACCTTTTAAATGCCTCCCCTACCATCCTCCTTCGCCTCGGGTGAGGCGACAGGGAACGTCAGACTCTTACTGACTAAAAACCACCCTGTTCCAAATATGCTTCGAGGCACAGCCCCAGTAACCCGAAAGTTCGTTCTCGGCCCCGGTCGCATCAGCCTTACTGGGCCCATTCTAAGATAGTCTGATGACTATTTGAGCGCGCTCGGAACGCAACGCTTCGTGCCTACTTCCTCATTTTACCTGGAAAGCATTTCACCCAAGTGTCATCACCCATGAACGACTTGGACTTTGTTCACCTGGGAATGAATTTACCCAGGTGGACCAAAGTGATTTGGCAACTCAAATAGGCAACTACAGCGAATTTAAGAAAATTGTCCAATTGTGCGTAAATAGTGGCTAACTTTTTCTACACATTACAAGAAATCGAATAAATGTAATAAAATGCCAATGTCGTCACTTCGCGTTTCGCTTCGTGTTATAGGTAACTCGTGTTACACGAAAAGAAGCAGGAACCGACCGGTTAGTACTTAATTGACATGTTTTGTATGTCCTTATTAGAGTACGTAATTGATATATAGGTTGTACCTTAAATATCACATCGAATCTTATCCAATCTTATGGAAGTATCTGCACGGGCGAATTGAGTAGTTTCCAGGGTATCAAAATTAAAAATCTAATTAGTCCGTCAGTTAGATAATGAAAACACGTACATATGACACGTAATTTTTTATTTTCTCGTATTAAGTTGCAATATTTATACAAAATGGTGCTAAGTTTAGGGGAGTGGGAGGTCGTTGCGTCATAACGTGCTACAAAACGTGGCACGCTGTGACGTCACACGATATTTCAAACGTCGAAAGTATTTAATTTTGTGAGAAAAGAAAATATACGGACATTAAAATAAAATTGTGCAAAACTACTCTACTATATTTCGCTGTGCGAATATTTCCAACTTAAGATTCAATGTGTTGTATGAAATAAAATCCACGCGAATTTCAACTCACTGTAGTTACGTAAAGGATATTTTTTGATAACAAAATGAAGACCCTACATTTAGATGTAAACAATGCCACATATTTTTTGACGTTGTCCATACTGTATAAGTGTATACAAATAAAATTTTATATATATTTATCTAAATGGGTCTAACAACAGATTAGGATCTAGTTATACCTACCTATTTTAATTAGAACAAAATATACCTATTTACTCCGAGATCTAAGATAACGATCGAAATTGATAACAATCTTAATTTTTACTTTACATAAAGAGACTAATGTGTATTGTAGTACATTAATTGTCAGTAATTATTAGTTTCCTAATTTCAATTGCCTGTTGTCATTACTTCGACATGTATACGTATATTGTTCTTTTCACTAGATGTTCTGGAGTACAGTGATTGCTCTGTCGTGTTTACTGGCGTACGCACATGGTCATGGCCGATTGATGGAACCAGTGGGTAGAGGATCTCTTTGGCGGACTGGCTTGTTCCGTGATACACCACCCAACTATGATGATAATGGCCTCAACTGCGGCGGTTTCCACCAGCAGCATTTTAGAAATAGAGGACGGTAAGTCTTATGAAAAAAGAATAACTAATTACTACACCCTAAGAAATGCAAATGAGGAAAATTCTATAGATGATAGTGACAGTGATCTTCACATTTGTATTCCTCTAGATGCGGTATCTGTGGTGACGACTACAACAGCGCGCAGCCCCGCGCTCATGAGTTAGGTGGAAGGTACGGCCAAGGACACATCGTCGCTACTTACGAACAGGGCGAAGTCATCAGCACCAAAGTCCACATTAGTGCTTTCCATATGGGATACTGGGAGTTCAGACTGTGTCTGGATCCTAGCGACCAAACACAGGAATGCTTTGCTAACTTCCTTCTGGAGTTAGAAGACGGGGGAACCAAATACTACCCGGCAAGAAGTGGTTTCTATGAAGTGAACTACCGTTTGCCTTCGAATGTGGTGTGTGAGCACTGCGTGCTGCAGTGGAAGTACACAGCAGGCAACAACTGGGGCGTCTGTGCGGACGGCACGGGGGCACTCGGCTGCGGCAACCAGGAGAACTTCTTCTCCTGCTCAGATATCAGTATTAAGCGCAGTGAAAGTATTCCTTTAGACGTACCAATTATAAATTTGAATGGTGAGGAAAACTCCTAAATGTGCTGAGAAACTGATGTGTAAGTGCTGAGTTTAGTTTCACTCTAAGATAACCTATTTAGAAAGAAAACATTGGAACCGTGTGAAAAATACAAAAAAATAAAAATAAAATAATTTACGGCATACTTATCGTTTCATTTACATGATTGTTTTATAGAAAGAATACCTTGGTGATTTCAATAAAATTCAGGTGGCCATTTGTGTTCCCTGCATGTGGAAGTTTACTGTCCTGCCCACTACTAATTGCAGTAACTACTTAATAACAAATACCTTACTTTCCTTTGTTAAAAATTTCAGAAATAGATGAGGGTTAAAAAGGTGTTTATCAGATTAAATTTACATAAATAAGGTCAGTGCTACATAAAATCTCTCATGCTACCATCGTACATGCTCATCAAGTCCAAATATATATTTAGATAGGAAGAGAGAGAGAGAGAGAGAGAGAGAGAGAGAGAGAGAGCGAGTTAGAGAGTGAGAAGAAAAATTAAGAATATCATAATTAGGAATTTCATAAGATTTCAATATATTTCTATTTACATTGGTACTTAGTGTGGGAAACTGATATACATACATTTGGTAATATTTCAAGTATTTCATTTGTTGTTACACAAATTTTTTCACAGTGCCGTTAAACCCTTAAAAAAAGCTCAAAGAAAGATATTCAGTCGTTAATTGCCATAAAAATGAATTTTTAAAGAAGAATGCTAAAATCGTCACGACCGTTGTAGTACTTTGAGACCTACGACGACCATCCTCCAGTTACCTTATAACGTTATAGGAAACGAATCTGAAATCGTTCGAAAAGTTACATCTAGACTTGAAGGTAATGAATTATAATATTACCATTTGGGATTCTTTTTGACATGAAAATATTACTACTGAGAAATACGACGGTGGACATTGCATAGTGCGGTGTTCCCCAGGGCTCTGTATTGGGACCTTTTGAAACTCACGAGACTGGGTGCTGAGAAGAAAGCTTGCACCGATATCCTACCATGGGACATCTTATATTCCACATGTTTTTATTTAACCCAAAAATACTTTAAGCAAACTTTTAATCATTTTAACATTTTGTGACTCGCGCCACAATTCAGGATAATTCTAGTATTTTTTGATTTACCAAATCATCTCAAAAATAATATTGACCAGGACTACGCGTTATCGTAAGCATTCTCGCAGGGAGAAATGAGTTCAAAAATATTTATTTAAATTTATTTGATACTAGCTTTTACCCGCGGCTTCGCTCGCGTCACAAAAGAATAAAAAGTAGCCTATGTGACATATACCAATACACACAGCGCCATCTATACCAATACTTTGGTTTTTTCTCGGGAATATCAATTTTTTCCGGGTTAAAAAGTACCCTATTATTTAATCCGGACTTCTAACTTTACGTCTGCATAAATTTAAAGCAATCGGTTAAGTAGTTACGGCGTGAAGGTGGAACAAACAAACAAACTCACTTTCAGATTTATAATATTAGTAAGGATAAGGATGATATTATTTTTGTAAAACTTACCGAACAATTTGCCGCAGCTGAGACCGCATATATATCGTTTGGTGGTACGTCAGGGATCCAAGAAATACACCAAAGAGAGGCAGCTTAGTTCGATGGTTCTACCAATAGGCAATGAACATGTGCAATCACTGCACCCCAGAACATCTAAGAAAAGAATGAAAGAACATAATATCTGACGCAACAAAGATATCAGGCAACTCGTGAACTACACAAACTAGGAAGTTAAGATTCGTTGACAAGGTTAGTACATTAGTCTCTATATGTAAAGTAAAAATTAAGATTATTATCAATTTTGATCATTAACTTGCAACATTTTATATTTATTTAATAATTACATGAAACTATTCCGCCCATGGCTTGGCTCGCGTGGTCAGTCATAATAAATTATAAAACATTCTCAGGAGTCACACTAACTATGTGTCTGTTGTGTACATGTGACTTGACTTGACTTAAATTCCTATGTCCTCAAGATGGGGTAGAGGGCGTCCACAGAGGTCTTCCAACTCGATCGGTCTTGAGCTTCTCGGTTCATCTCGCTCCACGTCATTCCGATGCTCGCCGCCTCTGCTATCTGTACCGTCTGTACGACGCCAGGTTTGCCGAGGACGGCCACGCTTTCTTTTCCCCTGGGGATTCCATGTCATGTGCATAATAAGTACCTATAGTTAATGTTTCTGGTAAATCTGTATAGTATTGCTACTAACGCCGTACTGGCACTATTATACCGGTAAAGGTACTGTTTTATTGCTTTTTTAAACGTGTCCCCACACAAACGCATATGTAGGTAAATACAGAATAATTAAAAGAGCGATCTGTATTGAAATAAATACAAGAAAATAACTTGTATCTCTGTCTGTTTATATAGGTTACTAGCCACTTCCGCGCGGTTTCACTCGCTCTACTCGGCGCCTATTAATCGTAGCGTGATATTTTATATCTCTATTATCGAGGAACGATAACTGGGCTATCCAACACAGAAATAATTTTTCAAATCGGACCAGTAATTTCGGAGATTAGCGCGTTCAAACAAACAAACAAAAAAAGCAAACTCTTCAGCTTTATAATATTATGTAGTATTATATTATATTAATACATATTAATTATCTGTTTATAATCTGTTTCCATGAATATTAATAAAGTATAATATAATAACATACAGTACCTAAATTATAATTTAGTACATGCACTTTGTATGTACAGATATGATTATACTGATATTTCCCGATGATAACCTGGTGTCATCGTATATATTCATGAAGGAAAGGACAATACAGTACCTATCAAGTATCAAGTCAGTTGGTATATAGTGCTGCAACATTCATTCATTTTGATCGAGCACCTCATTACAAAAATTCTAATGTAAGTACTTAGGTACAAATTTAAAGATACCTATAATAAAAAAGACAATCATTTTTTCATCTAATGGCGTCACACGGTGTTGCTCAAGTTAACTTCGGTACAATAATATCTTAACAACTTAAGAAAATGAAGTTTTCAAACATTATTCCATGAAGTTGGAAAATAGCCTATTGGTGACGTGGCGGCTTACTTACTGACACCAGGAATGTTGGAGATGATGGATGCAGTAGCGGCGGCAGCTGATAGTTTTTACCATTTCCACTCACATAATTTGTATACTTATATCTTTCTTTAGATGTTCCGGAGTGCAGTGATTGCGCTGTCTTGTTTGCTGGCGTACGCACATGGTCATGGCCGGGTAGTGGATCCAGTGGGCAGAGCCTCTCTCTGGCGTACTGGCTTGTTCTCTGACGCACCACCCAACTATAATGATAACGGCCTCAACTGCGGCGGACTGCACCACATGCATTTTCGTACTGGAGGAAAGTAAGTCTTCTAAAAAGTATTATCTAAGAAACGCAATTACTAGAAAACATAATTATATTATGGTGAACGTGGTCACTTTATCTCCAGATGCGGTATTTGTGGTGATGCCTACGATAGGCCGCAGCCTCGCGCCCATGAGTTAGGCGGAACGTACGGCCAAGGACACATCGTCGCTACTTACGAACAGGGCGAAGTCATCAGCACCAAAGTTTACATTAGCGCTAACAAACTGGGATACTGGGAGTTCAGACTCTGCCTGGATCCTCGCAACCAAACACAGGAATGCTTCGCTAACATTCTTCTGGAGTTAGAAGAAGGGGGAACCAAATACTACCCGAAAGGGAATGGTTTATTTGACGTGAACTACCGCCTGCCTTCGGATGTGGTATGTGAGCACTGCGTGCTGCAGTGGAAGTACACAGCAGGCAACAATTGGGGCACCTGTGCAGACGGTACGGGGGCCCTCGGCTGCGGCATCCAGGAGAACTTCTTCTCCTGTTCAGATATCAGTATTAAGAGTACACACGGCTACACATCGAGCTTTACATAACCAGTATAAACTGAACGTTAAATGTGCGGAAAGATGATGCGACGCGACACCAGGTTAAACTGGTTATTTATAGATTTGTATTATAGAATATATTTGTATAGACTAATCTGTTAGAACTAGAACACGTTTTTAAAAATAACAAAGTCTGTAATAACAGTATTATAATATAACTAAGATGTCGGGAGGTAAATTCAGTAGATTATTAAGTTTGTATATTTGCGATTTCAATAAAATGTTAGTGTATCATGTCCAATTGTTTCAAATATTAATAATCCCTGAAAGTGTAAATTATACCAACTTGGCTACCAACAACCCGATTGTTTCGTGGAGGACAGGTCTTCGCGTTATTACGCGACATGTCTTGGCGCTTACAGTACTTCAGTTGAGACAGTCGTGTAGTCAAAGGATACTGGACAGTCGAGACAAAACTTTGTTGCCAGCGGAAGACTCCGTACCATTATGAAGGCTTTTATCTCATCACTCATCTTGTGTTTTAACATTTGTTGTTAAATTAATGTGATTGTAATCAAACATAATTCCATTATAATTAGGATACACAAGATAACAGTTAACAAATTATTAAGAAATCTGGTTGAGTGAAATCTGAACAAGGTTCATCAAACGATTATTCTTACATTGATTTATTTATTTATTTACACTTTTTGCACAATAGGCATACAATTGCGGACTTAATGCCTCGTGTCATTCTCTAACAGTCAACTTTAGGGTCATGCAGAGAGACACAATAGTAGGTGTAAAAGTTTAACATTGTAGTGAGTTTTTAAACATAGTTTTCTGACTTTCCCGCCTAATACACATTCATACTTTTCTTTATTTTTTTCATTAATGGCAGCGAAGTCTCCGTTGTTGAAGACCATAGTGCCAACATTTCTTTTTTTGAAACTGAGTTACAAAAAATTCAGGTTTTTATTTGATTTTAAGAAAAAATGTATTTTTTATGGCATAAGCGAGTAAACGAGCAGACGGATCACTTGATGGTAAACAATCAGCGTCGCCCATTGACACCTGGAACACCAGAGGCGTTACAAGTGCGTTACCGGCCTCTTGGGGATTAGGAGTTTGAGGATCGTTGGGGATTCAGGAATTGGGGAGATTGGGTAAGGGGAGTGTAATTAGGCCACTGGTAACCTCACTCACACGACGAAACACAATGCAAGCGTTCCTTCACGTCGGTTTTCTGTGCGGCCATGGTATCACTCCGGTCGAGCTGGCCCACTCATGCCGAAACATGGCACTCCCACACTTAAGTATGTTTATGTATGTATAACAGTTCAGTAAAGTAAGGAAATTGTCAATTGAAATAAAACAAATTAATCTATTTAAGTTATTGCTTTTATTTACACAATAAATATATTATGTTGGAGTACTAACTCATCATTGGCAATAAAAACAACACAAGTAGCTGTTTAGCGAAAAAAAAATCTTCAAAAAAAGTTACATCATTTTGTCAACTGGCCACACATTTTACGACATTACTTGGTGAAGCATGATAAGTATAGACAAGACATATCGCGGACGCGAACTTTATGAGATTCGACATAATGCGCGCATGCCATGTCACCTTCATCCTCAACAAATTGATAAACATTATTAAGTCAAAAGTAAGTTCACATTTGTCGATAAATATGTACGACAGTTAATATCTCTGAAAATCGTACCGGCCCATTACGACCAAGAATCATATTTTAAGTATAATAAAATGACGCTAAACCACATCAACAAAACAACAATATACAATAAGATACAAAATAAAAATTAAACAAAAAAACTGCATATACGGGCAAAAGGAAACGTATTTCTGTATAACCAAAAATAACTTATTTTCAATCACTGTTTCATTAATTACAATTATAAATCACCAAATATTTATTGCTATAGGTTTGTGCAAAATCTATAACATAAAAATCGCAGCTTTGTAACTACTTTATTAAGGAACAGCTAGTGATGTGGCCACTTTATCGATAATTCGAATACCTCCATTCTAGCTTCGATGCGCATGTAAACGATACAAATACAAACGTTCTTACTTGTCAAAAACTTCACAATTATCTGTCACTTTCAGTTACAAATCCACGATTTTTTGCAACAATATAGTATATAAAGCGATATCGACAAAATGACATACAATAAATTAACAATTTATCGACACAGCCCAAGCCTAACCCTGCTAATACGTACGCAATACAAAAAAACTAACAACTATTGTAAAAAGCCGAATAAAATGCACACAGTTAGAGCCAAAGCCTTGGGGTGTTTGGGCAGGAACTGTAACACGTCCATCACAAAATAGTAAGAGTACTTCCCAATCACTAGTATAATTATTAATAGTATAACATTTTTCACGTTTACTTGGCTCCTTTTTACCCGCACCCCAGCTAGTCCCAAATCCACAATACACCTAACATTCATAGTGCTGAGAACCTCGATGCCGACAGATATATCGATATGTTTCGAACAAATTCGATCGAAAATGTATAATCGACCAGCTACAAACTAGTTAACATCCAAACATATCCATCAGCATCACAATAATATCAGGAAGCGTATCTACATATTTTTAACAATCGATAAATATAATTTCCCTCCTTTTTGAATAGGAATAAACTTTTTTAAATTTCAATTATCTAATGAACATTTTTAGAGTTACCATCTCTTGTCTGTCTTTGCCGGCAAAGTAGACGTTATAACCATTATTTAAAACTTTTCAAACGTGGGAGCCGAAATCATGTAACTTACAATTTAAAAATAAACGATCATACATCATTTTTTATTCATCAGTTCTCGATAAGTGAATTAAACTTGATTATGTTATAGTTATTAGCATCGGTTTTTAAAGCTGTTGTTATAATGAGGTCATAACGGGTCATTTCGGCTCCACCGCGTCATTTATCGATAAGTCGAAAGTGTAATAAATACGACAGCACTAATTGATCATTATTTCACTTTCTTTGAAAGTATAACATAACTAACCGTGGTATAACCGTGTCCATTAAACTTCCGTAAGAGATGTACGGATCGATAATTTGATAAAGTAATTCTAATAGAAATATTTTTATTTGGTAAATATTTATTATGATTTATCTTTTTTACCAAAATATTTTTACATAGGTTTCTGTTAGTATTTAGAGACGAAACTGATTCGGTATAATTTCTGTATTAATTATGAATTTAGCGCATTTTTGCGCATCTATTTGCAGTACTTTATATCAGACTCCCGTCCTAAAGCAATATGAATTTTAACACCATATCTGAACACTCTTCATATATACCGCTCACTTATTGCGTAATTTTCCAAAAGTTTCTAATCTAGAACTTTATATTTGTACATAAATAAAAACAATAGGTAAGTAACCGTTCTTTGATTAAACTCGGTAAAAAGCCAAGATCTGTCCAGCTAATTTGAACTTTGATAATAAGATATAAAGTTCTAAATTGGAAACAATGGTTCACACCGTATATTCAGAATTCGAAACACCATAGCCACAGGGAATATATCTAACTATACTATGCTTATACATTGTATGTATTTGTTTTAAGACAATAGTAATATTAGCCATCGGTAATACGTATCGTTAGAACGTTGCCGCGTGTAACCCTCTGATTGGTCAGTTTGTTGGAGCTGGCCAATCAGAGCGCTCAATGTGGCCTATCGATCTCGTTGAAAATAAAACCAACCCGGAACAGAAGATAGAGAAGAGGAAGAAGGAGAATATATGGCGCTGACATAGAAGATTATAGTATATTGAAACATTTTTTATGGAGTTTATACCAAAATTGTCTTTAGTATACTATAATATACACACAAAATTACTGATTTTCTTTCATAAAACAAATGACGAGAACTTGCATGCTAAATTATGCTGTATTGATGAACGTTAAAGCTTAATTTTCTCTGCACTTTTTGTTTAACAGTATACTTGTGTTTTTTTCTTCAATATACTATTAATGTAAGTAGTTTTCTTTAATATGTACAAAATGTATAAATAGGTGAACTTCATACCGTATTTTATTCAGTCCCAGAAAATAATGATTAAAATGACTTGCCTTGTGGACGGCATAATATGACATGTATTGTATGTCTTAAAACAAATACAAAATGTTTTGGTCTATAACCGACTTTAAAACAAGCGAATAGGGTTGATTTTTCGACTATAACATAAACAGTCGAATATTTACAACATAATAATTTACAATATCAATGGTAACGGAATTAAATTTAGAGTGCAAACTTAATGGAGTGGATAGATTAACTTCAAAGGAAAAACAGCTTTAATGTACTAGAAATACGATTGGTAATCGCAAAGAAACTGAAGGGTTTTGTAATGTTACTTATTATTTCCAAGATTATCAATATTTACTTTAAATTCAATTTGGACGATTATAAAATGTTATTTTGGACCTCAACAGAAGTCCAAATTTCAACCAGAAATAAATTCACCTAATAGTTACTTTTATATCACATTTCAATACGTATATGCAAGCATTTGCCGCCATTTTTCCATCAATCTAACCACTCCATTCAGAATCCCTCCCCCTTCTTAAATAAGACTAGAATCTACCTAGGTTCAGATAGACCTAGATAGATCTCATCTAAGTAGTATTCTAGCGGTCTTCGAGTCAATCGATTGTACAACGTATGACTAATGCAATAAAGACGAAAGTCGAACAACAATTCATTTGGTCGATTTCAGGTACTGTTTAACGCACGTGTTGAAGTCGATCGGTCGTTAAAATATCAAAGTGACTAAAATTTTACTTAAAGTTATTTTAGACAGGGATAATTCATTAGTAAACTGTCTATCTCTGTCACTCATACACGATTACGCATGAGTGTGAAAGAGACAACATGAAAAAACACATACGTCTTTCTATTCTTAGGCTAACAGAAATTTAATAATTTAAGAGTAATAAGGCCAAATTACACACGAACCAATTTTCTTTAAATCTATCCCCAAAATTACGTACTTGAATAAAAAGCACAATGTTTTAATGAATACAAGTTTTGAAATGACTTGAGCCATTTTAGCGTGGACAGAAACGTGAACCACTATAATTCTCATTCGTCTTGACAAGTGATGTAGAACCATCATTCTCCGTTAACCATCATATACATACATAGAGAATTATCGATAATATCGATCCTTATCAACTTTCCAGGGTTATAGCTACATTATTTAAATAATTAATGAATATATTATGCATAACTTTTATCGCGAAACGCTTACTCGTGACATAACTGGTCAAAAGTTAGACATCTCTCTGCCTACCCCCTCGGACATTAAAAAGCGTGAGTTTACTCTGGCTTAGGGTTTAAGCAAACATTTGATTAATATAAACCAACTTTACAACGAAAATTTGACAATTTAGTACAGAAATAAAAACAGTCACTTAAATGCAACGCCAAAAGCGACGGTGGCGCCATCACTATAGTTGCAAATTCTTTAAATAATGTACCTATATGTGTCACAATCCCAAGTTATACTAAGTACCGTCAGTAAGACCGCTAGATAGTGTTTCCTAGTCGAGTTCTATCCGCATCGAGGGCGCCAATGTGCCGCACTGGATCTTTGACTCCTTGAGCTTGCTTAGAGACAGACGAAGGTCATCCATCGTTATTGGACGGACAGCATCCACGTATTCCTCGTCCGAATCCGATCCTGACTTTCCAACGTCTGTGGCGCTCTGAAATAGATTAATATTTTATTAGTTTCGTGTTCATTAAAGTGGTTCAAAGTGATTTTGTTTTGGACTAGTGATTAAATCATCACCAAATCGGACGGATCACCTGATGGTAAGCAATCCGTGTCGACCATGGACACCTGGAACACCAGAAGCGTTACAAGTGCGTTACTGGCATTTTGGGGAGTTTTAGGATTGTTGGAGATTCTGGGATTGGGGAAGAGGGGAGGGAGCTGGGCCTCCGGTAACCTTACTCACACGACGAAACACAACGCAAGCGTTGCTTCACGTCGGTTTTCTGTGAGGCCGTGGTATCACTCCGGTCGAGCCGGCCCATTCATCCCAAAGATTACGCTGGTTTGGACATGTAGAAAAGATGGATGAAAGTAGAGTAACAAAAGAAGTATACAGAGCGGATATGAATGGGGCCGTCGGTAGAGGGCGCCCTAGACGGACATAATAGTGACCAGATTGGCGATATATTAAAGAAGGGCCAAATTAAAAGTACCCTAAACCGACGAGCATGCATGAAAAGATTGATGACTGTTAATGAAGCGAAAGAGGTATGTAAGAATTGTAGTAATTGGCGTTCCTTAGTCTCTGCCTACCCCCATGGGAAACAGGCGTAAAGTTATGTATGTATGTATGTATTTTAAGATGAGTGATACAAAGCTGGCAATAGCTTACCTTGTTCATTTCCCTGGACATCTCATCTCTGGCCAGGTCCCTGACTCTGTACACGGCCGCTTGTCTGCAGAGCTCGTGGAGATCAGATCCGGAGAACCCTTCGGTGGAGGCCGCTAGCCGCTTGAAATCAATCTGTAGACAAATTATTTAGTATAAAGTTTTATATGTTTAAAGAAACGTAAATATTACAAGATGGCATGACAAAAGCTTAAACTGTCAAACACCGCGAGGACACCGGTGACCGCAACCTATTGTCCTTTAATTGTGTCTATAATGACGGTACTGAAAGGCTTAACCCGTCGAGCGACCGCGTTCCTTATGACCCAACGGGTGCACACGTGACATTTGGAGCATTTTTTCTTATGATACACCGGGTGCTCATAAGGACGCTCGAGGGGTTAAAGTCACTATTTAATTAAAAGTAAAAACTAGATGAATCTTTGACCAAGGAATCGAGCAAGTAAATAAATTTTGAGATTACTTTCACTGCAGTTACACTTACGGCCACTCAAACAACGCAGTGTAATAGTGTAATAAATAAAAAAAACCTAACATCGAACTAGAGATGTTGGATTATTATTATTTATTTAAAGATCCACGCATTCCTCGTCTTGCCTCGTTGGCCGAGTGGTCACAAGTGCGACTGTCGGACAAAATATTACTGGGTTTTTAAACATTCACAGTAGTAGCACGGAGTCTGGAATTGTGCCCGACATTTGGCAATAGGCTCACCCCCAATTACAAGGGACTCATAACATAAATAGTGAAAAATGGGTGTGACATTGTACAGTGGCATTAAGTGCCGTAATGTGCACCTCTGCCTACCCTTTCGGGGATAAAAGGCGTGATGTTATCTTATGTTAAAGATACACCAACGATCTATTCACTAGATTTGTCACATTACATTTTTTCACTTGTAATTTGTTGTGAATGTGTCACTCATAGGTGTATACAGCACTTCATTACAGATTGTATGTTGTTGCAAGCTACTTACGTCTGAGGCGACGGGTTCAGACCGCAGTATAAGCTGCAAGATCCTCTCGCGTTGACTCTCACTCGGCATAGGAACGTGGAATGTGGCCGGCATTCGGCGCTGGATAGCCTTGTCCAAGTCCTGGGGACGGTTTGTGGCACCTACGAACAAAACATCAAATTTAAAAACTATTCAAAACATACCAGGCAACTAAACATCGAAACGTGTGTACGAAAATAAATATACCAGTGAAATAGAATACTTTTCGTCCGGTTGCATTACAGACACGAAAAAAAAAACGAATCTAACATTCGCAACAACACAGAAAATAAAAGAAATACAAAAATGGAAAGAACATTTATTGTCAAACAAGAAGAAAATAAACAAAAACACATGAAAAGCTCATAAAATTAAATTGGAAACACAAACATGCTACACATTTGAATTTGAGAAGAATGATAGAATTCACAGAAAAAGGTGTTGGATAGACAATATCCAGCACCACGTAAAACTATTAAAATACTTAAAAATAATATTTATAATCACAAACCATTTTACATTATAATGTAAGTCAAACATACTAAACTAATTATGTTTTCCGGCTTACTTACGTATCTGGATGACGAGAAACTCGACTAGTTTTAAGTATGACTAGAGAGTCATATTCTTAACAGTATTCCGCGACAGACGACGCTGCAACTTTCCCGCTGCTACCGGTAAACAGAGGCCTTAGTACAAGTTTGATTTACGTTTAAAGTATTCGAAACGAGTACGCGTTCGGCAATCTGATTGGTTGGTTCATTTTAGCCGGCCAATCACAACGCCGAACGCGTACTCGTTACGATTACTATAAGCGTAAAACAAACTCGTACTAAGGCCTCTGATACGTAAGTTCGCCGAAAAACATAATAAATTAATCAAAAACTGATCATAAGTAAGAAACAAACTGAAATCCTGAAATAATAAAAAGGAACATACAGGGTGACTTGCAACTCGACGTATTCCTCCCGGGAGGTATATTATACATTAGTTGTATTACAGGTAGGTAATACAACTAATTTCCTACAAAATTAGCCCTGCGGTCTCTGGTCCGAAAGTAGCTAATTTCTGAGATATTCAACATTTTCGGTTCTGGTGAAAAAATCCCGATCGAACTACAAAAACAACAATGAATAAGAAACTACTGGTTCGATTTAACTGATTTTAGTTTCAATTCATTGTCTATACATCAATAAAAAATTACAGTATTAATACTAATACTGCCAGAAACATGATTCGTTTTAAAATATAGGTAAATTAGTATCAAATATTGTTTTGAGTCAATAATTTGGTCAATACAAAACTGCATTTAGCTTACAAAATTGATATTACAATAAGCGTACAAACTATAGAAAAAACTTCCTACTACAAAAAACTAGCTACCCAAAAACACTAAATTATAATGTTTTATTTATAAATAATTATTTATAAGACCTTACCCCACGAATGTTTTCGGTGAAAACCTTCGTGGGCTCGAGCCTCGAGAGACACAGTATTCCAGGGACAATTTTTTGCAACATATTGTTCATCAATTTGATCACAATCTTCTTCACCGATGCGAATGTCTCCCTAGACCTTAGCCGACAAATGTTTTCAATGAAAACTTTTGTGGGCTTGAGCCTCGAGAGACACAGTATTCCAGTGACAATCTTGTAATAAACATGCTTCATTCGTTTCATTACAATCTTCTTTACAACAAGTCTTCTACACTGTAGTTAGTATCTCCCTAGGCTTACGCCTGAGTGAAATTTTGATAATTTCTCTCAGGCGTGTGCCTCAAGAGACAGAATCGGTAGTGAAAATCCACTCCAACATAATTTATTACAAACTTCTTCTCAATGCGTATATCTGCCTAGACGTTAGCCCACGAATTTTTTCGGTGAAAACCTTCGTGGGCTCGAGACTCGAGAGGCAGTCTTCCAGAGTCCATTTCTTGCAACACATGGTTCATCATTTGATCACAGTCCACTGCACCGATGCGAAGATCTCACTAGACTTTAGCCCACGATTTTTTTGGTGAAAGCCTTCGTGGGCCAAAGTCTCAAGAGACAAAGTTTCCTAGTGGCAATCTTCTATAAAATATTATTCATCACTTTTATTATAATCTTCTTGACTCACAACTTCTTTTCACCGATGCTAATATCTCCCTAAACCGTAGCCTACCAATGTTATCGGTGAAAAGCTTTGTGGGCTTAAGCCTCGAGAGACAAAGTATTCCAGGGGCAATCTTGTAATCAACATCCTTCATTTGTTTTATTACAATCTTCTTTAAAACAAGTCTTCTGCACTGTAGTTAGTGTCTCCCTAGGCTAACGCCTGAGTGAAATTTTGATAATTTCTCTCAGGCGTGTGCCTCAAGAGACAGAATTCCTAGTGATAATCCACTCAAACATAAATTTATTACAATTTTCTTAAACCACAACTTCTTCACCAATGCGTATATCTCCCTAGACCTTAAGCCCATGAATTTTTTCGGTGAATACCTTCGTGGTCTCGAGCTTCGAGAGACAGTCTTCCAGCGACAATCTTGTAATAAACATCGGTCATTCGTTTCATTACAATCTTCTTTAAAACAAGTCTTCTGCACTGTAGTTAGTATCTCCCGAGGCAAAATTCTCTCAAAATTTTGATAATTTCTCTGCGTCGATGTAAATATTTGCCTAGACTTAAACCTGAGAAAAGTGTTGGTAACTTTTGGCAAGCTTGTGGCTCTAGAAACATCGTCTTAATATAATAACGGTACATTATTGAATGACGATTTGAAGACAATAAACAACATTTTAACGGAGTTTTAAGAATATTACTTGATACTGTTTTATTTAAATGAATCTTCTTCATTGGTAGGAACGATTCCAAAATAAAAGGCTTTGTTAAACAATTCACTAGTCTGTTTCCCACTGGATGCTATAATTACCAAATATCCGGAAAGTAAATCCACGCCCGAATGGAATCCAACAAACGTGCACATATTTTGAAAATAAACGCTTTACTAAAAATATGTATATCCAAAATAAGAAAAATATTATACGAAATTTATAAGGCTGTCTAAATTTTTTGTTTTTTTTATGACTCCTTACCGTGTACCAACATTTTGGTGAAGCATGTGCAGGAGTCTACCATGATTCAACGCAATGCAATTTAACAATAGGAATATTTATTTAGTCAAATGTATTTATTGGAAACGCAAGCGGAATCGCGAGCAAAACCTAGTACATAATATACAAGAAACTTGTGGACTTACCCATTATAATGACGGTACAGGTTGGTTCGGTGATGAGGCCGTCCCACAGCGACATAAACTGCGTCTTCATCATGGCGGTCGCCTCGTGATCATGTTGCGTGCGCGTACGCAGGAACGACTCGATCTCGTCTGCCGAATTTATAATAGAACAAAGTCAAGTCAAAATCTTTTTTTTTTTTTGACTCGATCTCGTCTGCCGAATTTATAATAGAACTGAGTGTGGATATACGATAAAGGTAGTTAAGTCGAATGTATATTAAGATTGATGATTGAATCCGTAATTGAATGTTTTCCAAGGACAGAGAACGTTTGTAACCTTCCTTCTATTTATTTTTCCCATTTCCAAAGTTATTTAAAAACTATCGAAGTGACTCCATCTTATATGTATAAGAGATGCGACTTTATTCCCTCTCCTACTTCCCCAATTCCAAAATCCTGAATCAAATAAAAAAAATCCCTAACTCCCAAATGATAGACCCGAGCGAACGGCGCGTCGCGTTGCGCGCGCGCCTCATAGAGCCATCAGTCCACCACAGATGGGGCCCAACAGGGCCGATGCCGATTCGGAGTCGCGAAGAACCTAATGGGTAACCGGGGCTCCGGCTCGACGTGCAGGAGAAGGAACGGGGTGGTTTTTAGTCAGTAAGAATCTAACACTCCCTCCCGCCTCACTCAGGCGGGAGCAGTCATTAGATGATCTTCCACCCTTAAAAAAAAAACCTAATCACCGGTAACGGACTTAACTCATCTGGTGTTGCGGGTGTCTGTATCTGGCGCTGATTGCTAATAGTACTTACATAGCTAATCCTTTTGCTCGTTTGCTGGCTTATACCATAAAAAAAGGTCTTAGTTTCTTACCTATGAACACGATGCAAGGCTGCAACTTGACTGCAAGGCTGAATACAGCGGCTGCCAATTTTTGCGTCTCGCCATACCACTTGTCCGTCAGTAACGATACGTCCAGATTTATAAAGCTCATGTTCGCTTCCTTCGCTGTTGCTTTAGCTATCAGGGTTTTACCGCAACCTGCAATATTGTTTCTTAATTAATATTAATTTTGTAAGTAATCGTAGACAAGCTTGTGATGTACATTTTGTTTACTACTTTGGAGAACGCCTAAAATGTTGCCAAATAGTTTCATTGCAACTTCTTGGATGTGCAACGTAAATGTTTATGAAATATTGCGCAATAATTGTGTGCCTGTTTAGAGAAAGTTGCCCAAGTGTATGTCATAAACAAAGTGAGACTTTTTCAATAAAACATCAAATCATGCGCAGATGACGTAGCAAAACAGTTATTATACATATATTGTATGTTACAGTTGTATGTCAAAGGTGTACAACAGTTACTATGTTGTTGCTCTTGCATTTGCTCATGCAAGAGCTGACGTTGCAAAATATTTTCGTTGCAGTTTATCTTAAAATTGACATGACATGGTTATAAAATGTTGCGTAATAAACAACAATGTTGGTAAATTACTAAGGTTCTGTTGCTTGATGAACATTCAATGTTGCGTGACATTCGTTAAAAACTGAACGTAAAACTTTTTAATTAAACGTGAAACCGTGATATGTTGCGAAACATATACGAATGTTGAGCATAATATTCTTTGATACTTCTACTAGGTTTATCTAAGCAACACCTGAAGCTAGCAAATGTTGCAAAATTTTTACAGTAACATTTAATGTTTAGAGTTCACATGAATAACAAATGTTGCGCAACATGTTCGATGTAACTTACAAACCCCTAATTAGTATTGCGCAACATCTGAGTTGCGCTTGCTCTTGCGCTATTGAGCCAATCGTGTGCAACACCAATAGGTAGATATTGAAGATATATCTTTAGTTATATTTAATAAGTGCAGTTATGTGTAATGTACGACCATAGGGTATGGTTGAAAAGTAATCGTAAAACCGTCGCTCAATACTTGAGGGGTGGTTATCCAAGTCATCCCCCCCCACCCCCTGCACTACCCACCACGCTTCAAGTGCGCAAGTGCGCCGCATCGAGGAAGGTGGTGGTCCTCTACCTTGGCGCAGCGCACCTGCGCAGTTGTTACGTAACGTGGAGAACAAAGAAAGTACATCACAGCGATGGGTTGCCATCCAATCCCCCTGGCACCTCCTACAGTATCCCACTGCGCAGGTGCGCCGCACCCAGGTAGGGTGTGGTCCTCTACTTTGACGCAGTGGATCTGCGCCCCGTTACGTAACACGGAGAACAAAGAAAGTACATAACGACGCTTGATTCCAAAGGGAAAATCCCATGACACTTCCTATCTTCAGTAGTTAATGGCAGTGTTACATAATCATAAGTCGTAATGGGAAAAAATCTAGCGCTACCGCTCAATATTTGCCTCCCCCCCACCCTCCCACGCCATAAGTGCGCAGGTGCGCCGCGCCCAGGCAGGGTGTGGTTCTTACCTGGGCGCGGCGCACCTGCGCACTATTACGTATCACGAAGAACAAAGAAAAGACATCACGGCACCTTCCCCAAAGGGTGAAAAGAAAACTCCTGACTCAAGTGAGGAAATCTTGCACATATTTCTTACTCATACCTAATTTTCCCCCCCCCCACCCCACCCCACCACTCTACCCCACACAGCACAAGTGCGCAGGTGCGCCGCGCCAAGGTAGAGGACCACACCCTACCTGGGAACAGCGCACCGCGCACTTCTTACATAGCGTGGAGAACAAAGAACCCACCTAACATCACGGCGCTTGTAACAAGAGAACAGCCAAAACTGATGAAAATCGACAAATAATAGAAATCAAACTATTTTTGAGAATTTCGAAATCGACAACAAAAAACTCCGGGGATCGAACCCGAAAACGCACGATGATAGTTGCATTTGCACAACTCAACCACTCGACGAAAAGCAGGCAAATAGCATGTCCTAAAAAAGAGGTAAGAATGAAGTTTGGGAATCGAACCCTATAACGCACGATGACTGTTGCACTTGGACAACTCAGAAGGCAGAACAAAAGAGTTTCAAAAAAACAAAGAACTTCGAGGATCGAACCCGCAAATACATGATCGCTGAAAAAAGGTCAGTTTCTTACCTGGGGGACCATGCAGAAGCACGCCCTTGGGTGGCTGCGTCAGCCTGCTGTCAGCGAACACTCTCGTTTCTGGATCGGCAGGATGACAGTCTCTCGCAACTCCTGGATCAGGTGGTCGAGCCCAGCTATGTCCTTCCAGTTGACCTGAGCAAAGAAATGCACACATTAAAAGGCGTAGAACTGACTGATAAGGAGTGGAGGGGTGAAGGAAGTGAGTGATTACCTGATAAAATCAGTCTTCCTACACCGAAATCTTCCAGCACGCTCCAAAGAACCATCGCAGAAACGATAATAAAAGGTAAACTCCCCAAGAAAACCAAGAACTCAAATCGGCTTAATATGAAATCGCGTCCCGATATCGACACGTCCGGTCGGCTCGGCTGCCGGGGTGCAATTGCGCAGCGTCGAGCTGGGGGGTGGTTATATAAGTCTAGACCCGCGCAGGTAGTGTCCTAGATAGACTGGATCGATATTAAATGACAAAGGTTGTGGCGCAAGCGTGCAACGCTAAGGGATATATTGCGACTGCGTGGCGACCCCGTCCTGCACCTGCATTGATCATTTTCCGGAACTTTCCGCGATTACGTAACAATTTTGTTGGGAAATGACGCAATATTTTATAGGTGGGTTTTGAAGTTATGTAACATTCATTGGTAAAATGTCCCAAATCAGCTCGTACTATGTTATTACTGACCACTAGGGTTATATGTTTCGTGGTCTAACACAAAATGAAGTTACAATATCACTAACGAAAATTAGTAGCTATCTCTGCATATCCTTTATGGATAACAGACCCATCTTTTTCCTCTCTCGTGTATTTATATTGACGTGACTTTAAATCATACATCAAGTCCTAATTAAACGTGCCTAACACGAATACTAAAGGTGTTCACAGCAATGAAACACGAAAGGGGCTTAAATTAAATTGCAAGCCAACTGTTGCTCGCGATTGTCTAAACAATCTGTATATATACAGCTATATACCCCAAATGCGGGGGTGCCTTTATACCTACGCCCACATTTCGCAATAAAGGTATGGTTGATATAGTAATGTTATTAGGACTACCAAATATAAGCCTACGCTTATTGTTGTGTCCGAAAGATCTTATTACTTCAGGATATTACCGAGAATTCCGAAATCGAAATGCCAAATATGAATAAATATTTCTGCTAGGGACCTTTTTACTACTGCTAGGGACTCGGAAGTAATAAACGAAGACTGTCAAGCAATTTCCAGGGGTAGATAAAGGTGCACATGTGTATCAGGCTAAGGTGTCGCGAAGCGATTTTCTCCCGCGATCGCCGTGGATGCGGGTCCGCAGCCTTTGTAGAATACAGATGTGTTTGTAAAAAATTAGCACATTTCACGACGCGTTTTACGCTCGTGTCGTGTGATTATTGCGGTTCTCCCCGCGGTCCCGCAGCCACGGCGGGTTGCACCCGCGCGCTGTGCGATCGGTTAGCGGGCGATCGCAATGGCCGGACTGGAACTCAACTGTCCGTTTGCGATAATCAACCGCCAAGTTTGCGGGCAATTATCGCAACCGCGGCGGGTGGGACGCAGAAAAGTGCGGTCTCGTTTGGAAAATAAAATCACTATTCCACCACCGCGGCGGGCGCGGGTGAAAATCGCGTCGTGTTCCGAAGCGTTAAGATGCACCTGAGGGACTTTTCATAGCTTATGTTATCCATATGATAGGAGAGAGCCTATTATCCCTCACCAGGGACTCCTAACTTCGTAAGTACGAAAATCGTTAATGTTAATAAAATTTTGCCCGACCCACTGAGAACCAAACCATCTGCGTCTTCAATTTACATTATATATTTTTGTATTTTGCATTTTTGTTATTACGAATAAAGATTTAAAGTTTTTTTTTCACATTTATTCAACATCGGGATCTTCCCTTTTTTGATCACAATATAAAAAATCCTCATGAAGACAAGGAGGACTGTTACACCACTATGAAAGGTGCAGGAATCAAATTCTTGCGATCAAATCCCCTAATTTCCCTCCACGCGAAATCAAACATGAACAAAAGCAAGTCCTAACAGTTACTAACAAATTGCAAATCGTTTTAACGAACTGTTTGTGGTCGGCTAATGCCAAACCGACTTGTAATGTGTCCAATTATGTTCCTCCTTACTATTACGACATTGCTCACGTGTGATACCCACTAACCCACATACGACCTCGTAAACAATCGGAAATATAAATGACACAAAGGTACCTCGAAATAGCTATGCTCTAACTTTTACAACAGTATGACTAAAGGTCGCCCAAGTTAATCTTCTTAAGAAGACAGTAACTTCCTTCAACACCAAATAAAACTACCAGACGCTCGTTTAAAAAAAGATATAACTTAACAGTCCACTGCTAGACTATGATCATCTTCTACATAAGAGGGTTTACTATTATAATAATCTCCGCAGTTCGTAGAAGGGTTGCAGTTTAAAAAGTTCCGATTTATCAGGAGGTTGACTCCTTCAAACATGTAGTCGTGAAGCTCTTACGATTTCCTTGGGAAGAGTAGGGACAATGAAAAATGTATTTAATTTCCCGTCATCATTCGGTGCAAAGGAAAATAACATAACATAACAACGCGCCTTTTATCCCCGAAAGAGTAGGCAGAGGTCCACATTACAGCACTTAATACCACTGTACAATCAAATGTAACACCCACTTTTCAATTTATGTTATGAGTCCCATGTAATACAGGGTGAGCCTATTGCCATATACTGGACACAATTCCAGACTCAGTGCTACTACTGATAATTTTCTTAAAAACTCAGTAACACTTTGCTTCGACCTGAGAATCGAACCTGGGACCCCTTGCCCGGCAGTGGACAAAATATTGAAGGAAATTAATTATATCTTCAACATTATTCAACATTAATAACTGCCCGAAATAAGTTGCTGTTAATGATGAAATCGTAACTCAGTTTCAGTCAAAGTGTTTATATTTATTTAAGTTATATTGTATAGTCTGGCAGGATCTCAACATGAATTAACCCTGAACATATTCTGTGTGTAATGTCTTGTGAATATTAAGTCATTTGTTACCAATGCAGTAAGATTAATTCTGAGAAAATAAACATAATATAACTTTTCAGCAGGTACGTTATTCTTTTCTTCTGTTAATAAATTCTCAGTGTAGCTCCCAGGCATAGTACCAATAAAATGTCTCTCACGTGTCTAAATGACTCACACGACGAAACACAACGCTTTGGTTGTTTCACGTCGATTATCTGTGAGGCCGTGGTATAACTCCTGTCGAGCCGGCCCATTCATGCCTAACCATGGCTCTTTAAAATGCTAAGAACTAACTAACGTAGCCATTAAATGAGTCGCGGACTCGCGGAGAACCTAACGGGTAACCGGAGCTCCGGCTCGACGTGCAGGAGAAGGAACGGGGTGGTTTTTAGTCAGTAAGAGTCTGACACTCCCTCCCGCCTCACCCAGGCGGGAGCAGTCATTCAATGATTTTCCCCCCTTAAAAAAAGCCATTAAATGACTCTGAGTATGACTCGATAAGACAGCAAAGAGTCAATGTACTAGAGGTAGTTTAGAAATCGATACATTGATATTGTACACAATCGAGCAAGATATTGATTTTATGTCTATAGGTAACCCGCAAGTCGTCAACGTGTGTGGTTAATCACCACATACGATCACAGTTAAACCGTGTTTGTCTGTCTTTTTACTGCTATTGATCATAGATTTTTACAACATTCTAGAGGTATAAACACACGTAATTAATGACCTAAGTGACGGTCAAGCCGACGAACTGCTGTAAAATTACATTTGAGAGCACGCAAAGCCGTCTGTATGTCTGTCACGATGGTCATGTAACTATGTAATATAAATACTTTAAACAAACCGACTCACCTATTTATAAGCTCAATATTTCTAAATAGAATTTTTATCAAATATCTCCAGAACTTCTGAGGTTTCTTTCTAGCTATAACGAGTATCGTAGAATTTCGTACGACATCGGGGAGCGACAACATTATGACTTAACTTACTCTTCGACTTCAAGGCAAATGGGTAAAATTTCACCATTAGTTAATTAGAAAAGTCTAATAGCATTTGTGCTCCGCAAAGTGGGTGTCGAACCCGCCACTAGGTGCTTAGTAGTCACCACACTAATCATGCAGTCTTTCTACCTATGTATATTAAAAAAGTAGTAAAGCTACTCACACTGATCTCATCAGGCACCACCAGCTGTGAAGCGATGATCATCTCATGGTCGGTGAGCTTGTCCAACGCGATAGAGTGCTTGTTTCCGAGCCCCGCTCTGCAAGACATCCTTAACACATGCATGGTCTATACAGTGGCCGTTTATCATAACCTTATTGTATGTGGACACTACACTCATGCAACTATCTAACTCTATTTATTTACATTTTAACTGCAGATGCATGTGGGTAGAGGAGATAGGAGCTAGTTGTAACACAAGTATGTTGTTGCTTGTTATTGACAGATTTTATGCAGGGACCACTCACTGCTATCTAATGTGAACGTCGCTATAGAATTTGCTATAATCTTCACGCAACATAAGGATGGCAGCTAGATCACTGAAAATGTTGAGTATGCTACCGATTATCCCTCCGAGGCTGGTTGTAATTTTAGGGTAAAACAAACCACATTTACTTTTTTATTACTTTTACGTTTATAATAATTAACAAGACATCCATTTACAAAATTCTCTGAAGCTACTATATAAGGTAATAGAAAAGATTTTGTATAAAATTTTTCAATGTAGCTACCAATTGTAACAATGTTCCCCCTGTCTCCCCTAGCCTTTTGTTCTAGTTTTTAATTGCTGTGTGTGCTAGCCTTATGTTATGTCGCTGTGATGCTGTTATGCTTCTTACATCTCTACTTGGTCTGTATCTACTGTCTTTAAATCAACCAGCAGACAAAACATTAACTAAGTTAATTTAAAATTACATCATTTGATAAAATCGGATTTTGCAATACATTAGTAGTAGTATCTTTTTTCGTTTTTTTTTAATTACCCGACACTAGGATTTTTTCCTCTGTGTGTTTACAAACATACAAGTTCACATACACAATACCCTCAGACCCGTAACAACAATATGTAGATCACACAGAGTTACTCCATGCGGGAATCGAACCCGCGACACGTTGCGCGGCAGCCACCGCACTAACCATACAGATGTAATAGGAAACATGTCACTTTTAACTGAAATTGAGTACAGTACAGCAAAGTGTTGATGGAAAGCCAAATGCTGTGTAACCAACATGTCATCTGCAGTTAAGCTGTGCAGTTAAAGCCACATATTAGTTAAAATAACAGCCACATGTAGAGATCAGACACAAAATTTACAATTATGTAGTGGCAGAAATTCATAAACAATGTTAATACAAATTTTTTTTAAACCCTTCGAGCGTCCTTTTGAGCACCCGGTGGATCATAAAAAATGCTCCATGCTGCTTTCTCTTTCATAAAATCTATTATTAATGTTTTGTTTTTATTTTGACTGTATTTTTTTATTTCTATTGTAATGATCCTTGTTTTCGTGTGCCAATGGCCAAATAAATGCATTTTCTTTCTTTCTTTCTCCAAATGTCATGTGTGCACCCGTTGGATCATAAGGAACACAGACGCTCGACGGGTTAATAAAATATTTGAATAATGTTTCTGTTAAAAACCAAAATTGCTTTGGAGATTTTGGATTATTATGATTGGTTATTAATTTCAGCCTTTAAGGGTCGATTTTTCAATCATCAGTTAATTGTAACTGTACAATAAAATTGACATTTGACAGTTTTTAGTATGGAAGAATTGTCAAATGTTCAAATTTATTCCTCTGATAAAATTTAAATGAGCATTGGAAAATTGGCCCTAAGACATAAGGTTTGCAACATTCAACAACATTTAGACCTAGTGAATTCTGTATAAGAGTTATTATCCTGATATTTAATTGAATTGTACTGTTCCAATATATTGAACTATGCACAAAACTCATGTCTTTAAAAAACAAATTCATGAATATACAACACATAGGATAAAAATAATTAAGTATTTTAATATTTTTAATTAAATTAGTAGCATCTGAATATGGAATGTAATAAAAAGATTGAGTGCATGTATGATACCTAACAGTTATTTTTATAGTTATTTTAAGTCTTAAATCAACTATAAAAATAACTTTAAAATATTAAGTTGATAACAAAATAACAACCAGTTTTTCCCCTGCAAATAACAGGGGAATTTATAACTTTATCTCATTACTTATATCAACTTTTTGTTGGATTCATTTTGATACGCACACACTTTAATCATATTGAATGTGTGAATTTCAAAATTGAAAAGTATGTACTGACTAGCTTCTAGAAGGACTGATCTGAGATAAAAAGTTGCCTATGTCTCGTTCCAGATCAAAATCTATCAATTTCAACCTGATTCCTTTAGCCGTGTTGACATGATTGAATAACATAATGTAAGCTAAGATGTACCAGATCTGACTGCAACAATACCGTCAACAGTGTCAGTCAACACAAATGCACTGAATACAAATTCAAATCTCGCACAACATAAGTGAACTTTCAGTACCTAAATACTATTGTACAAATGTACAGGTTATCATAATATCACACTTCAATAGAATTCTTACTGTAATGGTGTACCTACATGAATGTTATACATAATTCATTTGGTAATGTTTCATTCATGAACATTGTGATAATTTTAGAATGTTATTATTATACTCTGGGGTAAAATATGAGTTAGTTTATAAAGTCTATAGTATTTTTTTTAACTTATTTTGTATTGCTGGCTGGCAAGTCAGTTGGTAGTATATAGGTTGAAAAAAAAGAGTTTTGCAAGATAAATCCAATAGGAATGATGAACTAAGCCACCTTCCAATTAGGTTTATATTTAATTTTAGTAAGAATAAAATTGCATATCTTGATTTATCAAATCCAATTGCAAATAATGGGCTGTTAACAGTTCTTCATTCAGTACGCATAATTTGAATCTGTTATCTGAATCTGGAATGTATTGACGCTTGTTGTTTATTAGCTAGGTTCATGACCAGCGTCTTTAGCAAAAATAATATGAATAAATCATTGTACAGTTATGTATATGCTATGTCTTCAGATAATTTCAAATAGTTTTCATACACTCCTTATAGTTATGATCTCGAATTAACAACACAATAAACATGCAATGTGATGGTAATGATTAGCAGGATTATCTGTCATTAACAGATAAACACATTTCAGGGTTGTAATGTAGGTTAGCTATCACCATGGGCTTGTGAGGTAATGAGAATTGATTATGAGCTCTAATTAGCATTGTATGTGTATTTTAATAAGAAATTAGAGTAAAAATACGTAAAAATTCTCGTGTTATGACGTAAAGAACCGATCGATACTTACTTGCGTAACTGTTCGCGGGCTCGCTCCTCAGCCTTCTTTCGACTCTTGGACGTTGGGTCTATCTGGTTCACGAGCCATTTTATCGAAAAATAAGTCACAGCGGACACAAAAGCAACCCTTATAGCCATTTGGAACACATCGTTCCGCGTAAACGCTGACCCTTCCACCATCATGCCGTCAATGAAATAAGTAACTTATCACAAACAAAACACGGAGCTGATGTTAAAACCCGTGTGCTCTTCGATTTATTAATAATTTTGGAATTTCTTCACAAGAAGGTAACAGCCGTCATGCCTTTGTGAATTTTTGACATAGACAAATTTTTCTAAACTGTCGGCGTTCCATTCCATGCATACACATGCATATTCGTTTTTTGTTCCTCAAAATTAAAGATGAAATCTTAAGTTTAAATGTTAATAACAATAAAACAATAACCTAATAAAATAACCTAAAAATTGGGACTCCTAACAGCAATAAATTCTCTTGAATTAGAAGATTAGAAACCGAAAATGTTTTAAAAGTTGTAACGTACACGTGTAATGAAACGCTTGTGTCAAAACAATTCCGTTTCTGAACAAAAGTTAAAAAAAGGTTCTGAAATGACCGTTTCACCATCTGTAAAAATAGTTGTAGTTGTATATTCATTTTCCTTATATTAGTATGGTAAATATTTGCAACAATTTCATATTTTGTAGTATTTTGCAGTGATAAATAATAATTACTTCCTTTTTAGTATCAAAATATTGTACAATTATGAAAAGTTAACCACTGTTCTGTTTCCAAACGAAGTAGGAGACAGATGGAATGGAACAGCAACAGCTATTGTCAAACTTCATGTGACACTCGTGGAATCTGTAAATATTGAACATAACCTCAAAAAGTGTGTTGTAATTGTGAAAAAGACAGATTTTGAGAAGAATTCTGTGTTTATGAGTTTTATGTAATGTCTAAATAAAGAAAAATAAGTCAAATGTCAAACCTCAATTCGAAAACACGAGAAAAGCGCTACGTAAACAGAAACGTCTGCAGAAAAAGGTGCACCGGCAAGAACATTACTTAAAAAAGAATGTTGAGAAGCAGCAGCCAGTGTATACAGCCGGCAGGTTTGTCAAAAGACCTGCAGAATCTCCTGAACCAAAAGTGGAAGTTAAGGTAATTCAGTACATCAGGATAATGTTTTTTTAATGTTATCATGAATCATTCAAACAGGTGGTATTTTTTTACTTTTGGTACCCTATTGATAATTAAATAAATATTAGTAAAACTATCCTACTTCATGCCATATAGTTTATTGAGCATTTAAGATATTAAGCTCTTGCAGATATTGTAATAATAGTTTTGTCTTATTGATCCTATTAATTAAATCAACTAGGTACAGTGCCATAGGATAAACATGTAATCTTTATATTTCATCAATTTCACTGTTTAATTACAGAAAAAGAAACCAAAACTCGAAACTCCCCTAGACATCCTGAACAAGGAACGGCAAAAAGAGAAGAATGTAGAAAAGAAGTTGAAAAATGAGATGGAGGAACAGAGAAAGAGGATGTTGCAGCAGGCCAATGAAGAAGAAGACAAGATAATTAAGAAACTGGAGAAGCAGCTGGGTCTCAACAAGACAAAGAACAAGAACAACTACTTTGCTGATGATGGACTTGATTGTATCCTTTTTATTTATTTGATATCTAATTTATTTGTTTCTGTGGTGACACATGGTACACACATCAATCTATACAAAACCATGTCAACGGATGACGTCATCCTACATCGCACATGCAAAGTTTACAATCGAATTAACACAAGTAGAAAATCCCAACAAACAACTGTTGGGCAGAAAGCCCGCCAGGCACGGTCACCTCGCCTGGTCGGAGGATCCTACTTTTCCGATCTTAGGGAACTATACTCTCTGTTCCCTAAAGTGGTGACCTCGACGTGATTGGAAGCAACCTTCACTTCACGGAGCAGATCAGTAACGTCATCCTTATCGACATCCCTCTTATTCATCACTTCTCCGCTTAGCAGTAATCAACTCGCAATCAACAAAAGCTATTCTGTTTGGGTAATAAATAGGTTTTCTTCTCCGGCTCATTAGTAGCCATAGAGTGTTTATTAATATTGCTGTTATTGTGAATACTGAGAATAGTAACTAAATTAGGTCTTACTGATTTCCAGCACTTTTGGTGTAAGTCCGTAAATGAGCAGACCGATCACTTAATGGTAAGCGGCGTAAGATGGTGTCGCCCATGGACAAATACAATATCAGAGGCATTACAAGTGCCTTATCTACCTTTTGGGGTTTAGGTATTAAGGTTGTTGGGTATTCACGGAGGTGGGTGGTAAATGGGCATCCTCACGTAACCTCACTCATGTGACGAAACAACAACAGCTTTGTTTCTTGAATTTTAATTATAGTTATAAATCAAGTACTTTTGTCTTAAAACATACTGTATCATAGAATCATCAAAATCAACACTAATACAATAAATTCCTTAACCTGACTACAACAGATTTACTAGAAATATGTGACAAATCAACAACAGAACAAATTGTGGCAGCAGAGAAGCATCTAGCAGAAGTAGAAGGAGATTCTGACTTCGAAGAAGACTTAGCAGCAGTAACTGGGAAAGAAATAAAAGATAATAAAAAGAAAAATAAGAAGAAAGAAAAAGAGGCTAGCAATGATAGTGAAGATGATTTTGGGTCTGATGATGAAATGGGAAGTGGGGAAGAGTTTGACGAAGATCTTAGTGGAGGAAGATGACGGAGAAATGAATGAAGATGGTGATATGAGTGGTGAAGATGATGATATGAGTGAGGGAAATGAAGATATGAGTGAGGAAGATGGAGATATGAGTGAGGGAGAAGATTTGAGTGAGAGAGATGATGACATGAGTGAAGGGGACAGCGAAGTAGATGAAGAAGAAGATGGTTATAGCACAGACGATGCTCCTGAAGGTATGTAGCAGTTTGGGTTTCAATTCATCATCATTTTAAACTTAACTATTAACTTGATTAAATCAGAACTTCTGCTGCACTCGAATACTCAGACGCTACTCAATTTGAAGCCACGCTTAAGTATAGTTCAGGTATTAATTACAAATTCTTCTTAAAATGACAGAGATGGCACGTTATTTCAGTACAATTTAAAATTGATAGCCTTTCAATATTTGGGCGTAATACACCCTTTTTTGTAACATGCAGTGGTAGTACAAAAATATAATAATATTTCTAATTACACTATGAAAGTTTCTTTGTTTGGATGTTTGGATGATTGTTAATCAATCACGCTGAAACTACTGAACTTTTAACTTTTATCTCGATTAAATGCTTCCATGGGATAAAACAGGAAACATATTCTATGCAGACGAAGTCGCGGACTCGCAGATAACAGCTAGTAGTCAGTATGCAAACAGTACCTACCTTAATTGACGTAATAACAAATCGAATCTTAATTACAGAAAAACCAACAAAAACGTCGAAAGCAAAGAAACAAAAACAAGCCAATCAGAAGGACGAAAAAAAAACAACAGCAGACACAAAGACAGGCAAACAAGCAAACAAAAAAGAGAAGATTATCAAAGAAGATGACCTTAGTAAAGTTTTCAGTGATGATGAAGTATCCCATCTCTCTGGTGATGATGATGATGATGATGAGGAATTGGGTGATGATCCTCCTGTTGTGGAAAAGAAAGAAAAACCAGATGTTTGGGAGGATATTTACGGAAGAAAGAGGGATAAAGAAGGCAATATTATAAAGGTAAGCTAAATTGGACTTTAGATGTATGCGGTATATGAGTTGAAATCCCGTTTCTTTCCTTATGTTTGTAATAAATTATTTTATTTTGGCTTTTGTTATTTGATTACAGGAAGAAAAAGGCGTCTACATACCACCACACTTAAGAAATAAAGACTCAAGTTCGGATAAACAACTACAACAATTGAAGAGGCAAATTAAAAGTAAGTCATTCTTTTTTAAACTCATTTTAGGTAATTTGGACTACCCAATTACCTAAAAATACCCTGGAAACTATTCCAGGGTATCAAAATTAAAAATCTAATTAGTCCGTCAGTTATATATTGAAAAAATATTAGACACGTAATTTTTTATTTTCTCGTATAAAGTTGCAATAATAAGATAAAATGGCGCTAAGTTAGTGGGATATCGTTACGTCATAACGTGCTACAAAATGTGGCACGCTGTGACGTCACACGATATTTCAAATTAATATATCGACGAAAGTATTTAATTTTGTAAGAAAAGAAAAAAATACGTGTCTAAAGTTTTAAATTAATGTACCTGACGGACATTACAATAAAATTTAGAAAACTACCCTATTATAATAATGTACAAGAACTAAAAATTAAATTAAAGTTTGTTACTTAATTTTTAGCATTGGAACAAGCACGCTCTTAAACACACACATACTCAAAAGTGTACTAAAATGTAGCCTAACTTGATTGACGTGAATTAAAAACAATATAAAACCTTTTTTCATATTCCAGGCATCCTAAACAAACTAGCGGGCACAAACCTACACTGGGCGTGCACATCAATAGAGAACCTGTTCCAGTGCAACAGTCGGCACTCGGTGAACAGCGCACTGACGCAGTTGTGGCTGGACGCCACCGTGGCGCCGGCCGCCACGCCCGACAGGATGCTCGCCGAGCACGCCGCGCTCGTGTCCGTCTTACATGCTAATGTCGGCTCTGAGATCGGTAAGTATTTCCAAAAACTTACTTATTTTATACTAGCTTTTACCCGCGCCCCGCGGCTTCACTCACGTCACAAAAGGATAAAAAGTAGCCTTTGTGACATATACCAATACACACGGCGCCATCTATACCAATACTTTTGTTTTCCCTCGGGAATATCAAATTTTTCCAGGATAAAAAGTACCCTATTATTTAATCCAGACTTCTAACTTTACCTCTGCTAAATTTCAAAGCAATCGGTTCAGTAGTTACGTCGTGAAAGCGGAACAAATAAAAAACAAACAAACAAACTCACTTTCCGATTTATAATATAAGGAAGGAAGTAAGGATAAGTAAGGATGGATCTGACGCTGAAATACTCAATCGTCACTCAATTTTAAGTCGTGCTTAAATATAGTTCTACTATTATTATACTTCGCCACAAATTCTTTGTAAAATGAGATGAGAACGATATTTGAATACAAATCCTTACTATAATATTATAAATCGGAAAGTGAGTTTGTTTGTTTGTTCCGCTTTCACGCTGTAACTACTAAACCTATTGCTTTGAATTTTTGCAAACGTAAAGTTAGAAGACCGGATTAAATAATAGGGTACTTTTTATCCCGGAAAAAATTTATAATTCTTATTAACTCGTCGAGTACCGGTTTTATAGACACAACACAAAGAACAATAGGTCGCGGTCACCGGTGACCGCTTGGTGTTTGACAGTTTAATATATTAAAATTGATATTAGAGATAGAATTTTGCAATGACCTCCATATAAAAAGTGTCAAAATTCTATCTCTAGTAAGCAAATCTAAAGATAGATAGGTTATTGAAACTGGACGTAAGTCACTATCAACTGATCCGCCTACTTGGCCCATCAGTTCAGGCAGCAGTGAAATCTATAAAAGCATGTTTTTGTATATTCTAGGTGCCCACTTCTTACAAGAGCTATCGAAGCGGTTCGATGACATGATGCAGAGTCCACAGCCTGTCGGTGACAAGACACTCGATAACTTAGTGGCGTGCCTTGCTCATTTGTATAGCTTCAAGGTATTTATAATTGTTTTGATATATGGTCCGAAAACACAGGGTTAAATGTACCTTCATACTAGCAGCCCGTCTCGGCTTCGCACAGGGTAGACATTTATTTTTGGAAATTTGGATTGTTGTAGTGACATAACTACAATAGTTGGAAAAATTCTCAGTAGTAGCACGGAGTCTGGAACTGTGCCCGGTATATGGCAATAGGCTCACCCCCTATCACATGGGACTCATAACATAAATAGTGAAAAGTGGGTGTTACATTGTACAGTGGTATAATGTGCACCTCTGCCTACCCCTTTGAGGATAAAAGGCGTGATGTTATGTTATGTGTTGGACATATGCTACCGCGGAGTTTTTTGTAGACATTATGATGTTCTTCAATATTGTTGTACATTATTTTGGTCTATCGCTAATAGTTTTACCAAGGATACCTAATTTTTTCAAAATGAAATGTATCTATGTCAAATTGGAAGAATGTAGCATTTTATTGGTGAAAAAATTTTTTAAATCGGCCCCGTACTTTTTGAGCCTATTCATTACAAACATACAAACATACAAAAATAGGTACAAATCTTTCCTCTTTATAATATTAGTATAGAAGAGGCGTATTACAATCAAAAGGTGCCGCGTAGCTAGAGATAGAGAGTCATGGAAATCGTTGCTTCAAGCTGTAAGACAAAACAATCCGATCGCCAATATTAAATTTAAGTAGCAACAGTACAAAAAATAGTGTTATAGTTTAATAGATTAGTGTAACATACTGAAGAGAAAAACTAACAGCAATGAAGGCTTATTTTAATTTATAACAATCGAAAGTGTTATTCAAAATACAGAAGAGTCCCATACTAAATAACAGACCAATCTTAACAGACAAAAATGAAATAATATAACATCACGCCTTTTTATCCCAGAAGGGGTAGGCAGAGGTACACATTTCGGCACTTAATGCCACTGTACAATGTAATACCCACTTTTCACTACTTATGTTATGAGTCCCATGTAATAGGGGTGAGCCTATTGGCATATACCGGGCACAATTCCAGTCTCCGTGCTACTACTGAGAATTTTTAAAAACCCAGTAATACTTTGACCGACTCGGGTATCGAACCCGAGACCCCTTTCCCGGCAGTCGCACTTACGACTAGTGAAAAATGAAATTATTAGTATAATTCTATATCATTCGCAGGCGAAGTATATAAGCTTTTCAGTAGGTACCATCACCCATATGTTGGGGTTTTATTATATCTCGCCGGACATTAATATTGTTGTTCAAAACTTTGTTACAATTGTCACTACAGATCTACCACGCGACTCTCCTGTATGACATTCTGACCCGTCTCCTGGATTCTATATCTGAGAAGAATATAGAATGCGTGCTGGTCGCCCTGCGCTGTGTGGGAGGAGTGCTGAGGAAGGAGGAACCGCTCGCTCTGAAGAACTTCATACATGACACGCAGGGACGTGTCGCCAAGCTAAATGAAGCTTCTGCTGCTGGGTAAAGATTTAAATAAGATATCGTTATTTATACCTAAACCCGATTAGTGTGTGTCTTGAGAAATGAATGACCGAATTTGTTGTTTGGTATTATTACTTAAAAGAAAATACCTCTTTAAAATAACAGTAAAAGGAAAAATTATCTTTTCATATTTTTTATGGGATAAACCGGTAAATGAGCAGGCGGATCACCTGAGGGTAAGCAATTGGCGCTGCCCATGGACACCCGGGACACCAGTGGCGCTACAAAAGCGTTACCGGCCTTTTGCGAATTAGGAATTTGAGGATTGTTGGGGATTCAGGGATTGGGAAAGGGGAAGAGGGGTAATTGGGCCTCTGGTAACCTCACTCACACGTCGTTTTTCAGTGAGGCCGTGGTATCAGTCCGGCCCATTCGTGCCAAAGCATTACTCTCCCACACTTCACTCCACTCCACTTCTAATAATAATAATACCCAAAGCGATTACTTCTATTTCATTAAATAGTAATTGCGTGAATAGCAACTTACTAATTGCGCAAAACATGCGCTAACAACATTCATTGCGCAAACCAAAAACTTAACTCAAATCAATGTCTCCATTCACAGCTCTCGTATAAAGTTCCTGTTAGAAGTTCTAATGGCTGTAAAAAACAACAATCTAACGAAGATACCGAACTACGAGCCGACGTATGCCGAACATCTTAAAAAGATAACCAGAACCATCATCAGGAAGGGCAATTACATAACTCCACTGAACATTAGGCTTGAAGACTTGTTGAAAGGTGAGTTTTAAGCCAATTTAACATAGTTTTTTTAACTTCTTCCGCCTGGTTGAGGCGGAAGGGAGTGTCCAACTCTTATTGACTAAAAACCACCCCGTTCCTACTCCTGCACTTCGAGCTGGAGCCCCGGTAACCCGTTAAGTCCTCCGGGGCTCCGTATCGGCATCAGCCCTATTAGGCCCCATCTGTGGTTGGAATTCGCTTTGCAGTTTTGTGTACAAGCCCTCAAGCGGGATCTTAGACTACCAATATCAAACAGTAAAGAAGGATTAAACGTCATAAAACTTGATTTTTCGGTACGAAAATAAAAATTTCCTTAAAATAAAATTTATTTCCATTTCCCAGCGGACGAGCGCGGCAAGTGGTGGGTGGTTGGGTCAGCGTGGGAGGGCAACATGCCCAGACTGGACGCGAAGCCCAGCAACAAGGCACTGCCCACACTGCCCACTGCTGACCAGAAACTGCTGGAACTGGCTCGACAACAGAGGATGAATACTGATGTCAGAAGAAGCATCTTCTGCGTTATTATGTCTGCTGAGGTAAGTTCTATGAAGTTATGGAATAAGTTTATATTGTAGTAAAAATATCCTTACTAATATTATAAATCGGAAAGTGAGTTTGTTTGTTTGTTTGTACCGCTTTCACGTCGTAACTACTAAACCGATTGCTCGAATTTTTGCAGACGTAAAGTTAAAACTCCGGATTAAATACTAGGGTACTTTTTATCCCGGAAAAAAAAGATATTCCCGAGGGACAACAATAGTATTGTTATAGATGGCGCTGTGTATATCGTCATATGTCACATAGGCTACTTTTATCCTTTTGTGACGCGAGCGAAGCCGCGGGTAAAAGCTAGTTCTAAATAAAAGCTAAAGATATAAGCAAACGTTAAAGATTGAAAGGTGTAACAAAAGTTTATTATTTATTAAACGCCCGTCTTACATCAATAGTACTCGCGGACAAACACTCGACAAGAATCTCGTTCTTTGTTTGAAGTCAGTTATAAAAATAATTAAAAAGAACACCCCCCCACCTCAACTCCTATCCCTAAATCCCCAAAAAGCTGATACGAGTAACTCGTAACTCCTCCGGTGTCGCGAGAGTTCTTAAGCGGCGCTGATTGCTTACCATCAGGTGATCCGTCTAATTATTTGCCAACATTAATTATAAAAAATACACATCTGCTCAATGGATAATAACAGCAATAGTTTCTTACGTTTTCAGGACTATATGGACGCGTTTGAGAAACTCCAGCATTTAGGTCTAAAAGGCCAACAAGAGAGGGAGATTGTCCATGTACTACTAGCGTGCTGCCTACAGGAGAAGACGTATAATCCATACTATGCAGTGTTGGGACAGAAACTATGCGACACTGATCGAAAATATCAGGTGCGTAAGGTTCAAAGTTGAATGCACTTTTTGTTGAACTTGGGATCTAGGTATAATTTCCAAACCAATAAAGCGAGTTATTCTATCGTTTCTTAACATCTTATTGTTAGTTAGAACACGCAAATGAAATCGCAATGAATCGCAAAGAAAATCTAGTTCAGTATTGATCTATATACTTGCAATTTTGACGGGATCTATCAGGTAACTATTTAACGAGGAACTTGACTAGTTGAAACTATGAATGATGATCATGGCTTGAAAGCCATGATCATCATTCTAGATACAAAATAATTAATTTAGTATCACAAAAGTTATAATATAATATAGGCATCTATCAGAATATTCCAAGTAACTCCAAGTTATCGTTTCTAACTGCAATGTTTGAATGCACCGTTGGCGCGGTGGCTGGGCAACTGGCTGCCGCGCAACGCAACGGAACAACTCTTTGTGTGATTCACAGATTGTTGTTCCGGGTCTAGGTGTCATGTGTATGTGATTTGTATGCTTGTAAATGCACCCACGACACAGGAGAAAATCCTAGTGTGGGACAGTTTTAAAAAAAAATCTTTTAAATTATTTCTCCTAACCTTTTACCTATATATTATTACCAGACCAGCAGCTGTAGCCAAATGCCATTTAGCGCTTGTCTACATGTAGAATAGAAAACCAAATTATATGGGATTGACGTAAATTTTGACACTTGTCAGTGTCATCCCCATACATTTTGATTTCTACTCTCTCTGTAGACAAGCGCTAAAGTGGCGTTTGGCTAAAGGCACAGAATAGACTGAACGTTAACCCGTCGAGCGTCCGCGTCCCTTATGATCCAACGGATGCACACGTGACATTTGGAGAAAGAAAGAAAGAAAATGCATTTATTTGGCCATTGGCACACGAAAACAAGGATCAGTACAATAAAAATAAAAAATACAGTCAAAATAAAAACAAAACATTAATAATAGATTTTATAAAAGAGAGCAGCATGGAGCATTTTTTCTTATGATCCACCGGGTGCTCATAAGGACGCTCGAGGGGTTAATATTTCACACCTAGCGTCCCCCAACCAACCAATAATGTCACCATTCATGAACTCCTATTTAATTACCATATTTATTACTATTTCAGCTCTCGATCCAGTTCTCAGTATGGGATAAGATCAAGGAGCTAGACAGCATATCGAAGCAGTCCATGACGAACCTGGCACAGTTCCTAATACACCTCATCATGGAGAAAGGATTAGCTCTTTCTGTATTGAAGGTAAGAATAGCACACATGTGGAGGTTAGAACATAATTTTCAATTTTCAACCTTATTACAAAGTTATATAGGTGAAAAATTGTAATAGGGTAGATGACTAAATTTTATTTTAATGTCCGTCTGGTAGATTATATAAAAATATTAGACACGTATTTTTAATTTTTTTACGGAAACGAATAGTTTCGAAGATATATTGATTTGAAATGTCGCGTGACGACACTTCTATGTACATTTTATACGTAGAATTGACGTCAGCCCCCACTCCTAAACTTTGATTCGTTATATGTAAGTATCATTTTATTATACAACAAAATAAAAATGTGTCTAATATTTTTTCATTACCTAACTGACGGACTACTTACAAATTTTTAAATTTTCATACCCTGTCATTATCCCTATTTAACTGCTTTTGGTAGTTAAATAGGCCAGTATCTGTACTTTATTTACTGATGAATTACTACTTATATTTAACAAGCGGAATTTTGGATCAAGTGCCTAGCTTCACTGATAGACAGAGGAATGGACAAATTGTTGACGTTTCAAAAGTGATTAATTAAGGGTCAATTGAAATAAATGCTTTGACTTTGACTTTAAGTAAAACTCAGGCGAAGGTTTGGATACAGTTAGTAATAACATAACATAACATCACGCCTTTTATCCCCGAAGGGGTAGGCAGAGGCGCACATTATGCCACTGTACAATGTAACACCCACTTTTTACTATTTATGTTATGAGTCCCATGTAACAGGGGGTGAGCCTATTGCCATATACCGGGCACAATTCCAGACTCCATGCTACTACTGAGATTTTTTATAAAACCCAGTAATACTTTGCCCGACCCGGGAATTAAACCCGAGACCCCTTGCCTGGCAGTCGCAGACCACTCGGCCAACGAGGCAGTTAGTAATATAATAATAATATTCAACGCTAATATTTTTTTTTCCACAGGTAATACAATTCTCAGAACTAAACAAACACACAGTCCGCTTTATGCGACAGATTCTTCTCGCCATAATCATGAATGCGGACTTACAATCTTCTTTAGAAGTTTTTCATCGGATTTCAAAATCACCCAAACTCCACTTGTTTAGAGAAAGTATCAGACTGTTTATTCAACATTTCCTCATAAAGAACGCTGGAAAGAAGAGTGAGGTGCTGTCTGCAGAAGAATTAGTCACATTAAAAGAACGTGCTCAAGAAGTTAATAATATTCTTTCTTTTGGTTTGTCTAAACTAAAGTTTTAATGTTATAAATGTAATATTATGTACAGATATTATATATTTGTATTATTTGTCGGTGTTTTCTTCCTTTATTGGTATTTATGGGTGTAGATCGTAACTTATACCTGACCGAATTGACTAATGTCCAAAGTCCAAATACTGAAAGGCTACTCAATCATAAGTTGTACCTAAACATCTTGCCATCTCTGTAATTTTTCACGGATAGGGCCCAATAGGGCTGATACCGATACGGAACCGCGGAGGACTCAACGGGTTACCGAGGCTCCGGCTCGAAGTGCAGGAGTAGGAACGGGGTGATTTTTAATCAGTAAGAGTCTGACACTCCCTCCCGCCTCACCCAGGCGGAGGAAGTAATTCCATGATTTCCCCCCTTAAAATTACGACACGATTATTAGTCAATGTATACCTACATATAAACTCAAAGAATCAAAACCTTGGTTAATTTTTTATGCAAAATTAGTCCTTGTGGTGTCCACTTACCAATCTATTTAACTTACTTAAAAATTAATAGATCAACATGAACAAGGCTAAGGTAATATTTGCTATTCATTAAAAATAATGCTAACAGTTACAATAGTGCTTTTTTGCAGTTTGATAATTGCATTCGATTAGTAGGTACCTACAGCTACTGACATTGAAATTAATATTGTTATGTCATCGATACTATTATTCCATGTATAATAGCTAGGTATGAACTTTCTTAGGTACCAAATGTTCGACCTAGAGATTTGGTACCAGTCTGATAGAATATTTTAAAGTACATACTACATAGGTACCTACAATTTATACCGTAAAATGGGGTGGATAAGGATCGAGAGGTGAATAGAGACAGAAGAAGGGTGAATAGATATTGGGAAATTCTTCATAGTATTGATTCATCCCATCTTCTGTCCGTATTCCCCGCTCGATCCTCATTCACCCCATTGTACCGTACTGATTTCTACCGGATCCATTTCGGTGAGTGTGATTGATTGATACCCCCTAGTCCTATCCAGCATTGTACCACAAGACAATCGGCGAAGCCTCACCGATTCATGGTGGATGTCCCACCCACACGCACGAAGCGCTTCGCAACAACATTCCTTGGGCGTACTGCTAAGGAGTGGAATTTTTTGCCAGAGTGTGTGTTTCCTGAATGGTATAACCTGGGTGTCTTCAAGGCCCGAATGAATGTTGCTTATGGGCAGACGTGCTCCATCGTAGCCAATCGAAACCAATCTCAATGTCAATGCAATTTCAATACTTTATTCAATGTCAAAACTATACAACCCCTATCGTAGCTGTTGAAATAGCAGTCGGAGTACCTACGGTATATAAAGCCAAACTCAATCAATACCATTTAGTTCATTCAATATCCACGCAATACGGATGCAGTAGGCGCTAGTGTTGCAACTCAAGAGAATAAAATTTCACAATACCAATGTCAATCGATAATAATTCGATTTTTTTTAAAAAAACGTTGCCCCACTGTAGGATTATCTCCTGTGTCGTGGGTGCGTTTACAAACATACAAGTTTACATACACATGACACCCAGACTCGAAACAACAATTTGTGGATCACACAAACTATTGTTCAGTGCGACACGTTGCACGCCAGCCGGTTGCCCAGCCACCGCACCAACCGTGCAGTCAGATTCATGGTAAGCCCCCTGGCCAGGATAGGTCACGGAAAAAAGTCGGTCCATCAAATATAAAAAAAAATACAATAATATCCGATAAGTATCTACTACAGGTACATAGTACCTACTACAAAGTCCCGCCCGCCTGATGGTTACGCTAGCCTACGTTACAACTGGCAACAGCAGAAGTATCACAATCAAAAATTCGTTGCAGACTATAATGGCAACTGTTTAAGAGACATCGCACACAGTAAGGCGTTTTTTGTTTTGGAAACAATACAAAAAGGCTGTCAGCGCGCGGGCGGTACGCTTACAGTTTTATTTTGTATAGAGGTATACGCTATGAAATAATATGTCATAAGATTTAATGTTTAAATATAAATAGTAACAAGTTAATTGCTGAGTTGGAGCTGGATTAAAGCGGTGCCGGTCAAGTATTATATGACCTTAATTGCGTTGCTGTGCGAATGAAGATGAAGAACTCCCCGAAAATGAAGGCACAATCAAATAGATAATGTTCTTATTGTTCTTTGAGAAAAGCAGAGTTTCAAAATATTAAAAATGGTTTCGAATTCATAGATCAATTTCAACAAAGCGTACCGCTTATCCATCCGTCTTGACTCTTGTATAAACTTATGCCTTGTGCACCATAGAGGTAACAAGGGATTTATTATGTGACGAATGTGAAATACAGCTTTCAGCTCAAAGTTTTATTATTGAAATCTGAACTGTATAAACAACGAGCTGAACTGATTTTGACCTATACTTAAGTATTATGAAATGTCGACTGTTTCGTTTCAATGTTCAGTGAGTTCAAAGCTTTTGTTCTATTTGTTGCATTATTATAATAAATTATCGTTCCTTTGTTAAGACCTTTTGACATAAAGTGGAACAATTCTAAAAATGTACTTATGTGCCTTTATAAAAGCTCCATGACACATTCCCTAACTTTTTTATATTTAATGGGCCGCCGTTTGCCTACTATCTCGCCTGGTGGTAAGCGATGATGCGATCTATGATGCACGTCGAGCACGTCGTCCCATAAGCAACCTAACTAACTTAACCTACAATTAATACAAACTTAACATCACAGCTTTTAACCCCGAAGGGGTAGACAGAGGTGCACATTATGCCACTGTACAATGTAACACCCACTTTTCACTATTTATGTTATGAGTCCCATGTAATAGGGGGTGAGCCTACAATTAATATTTTGACAAATATGCTGCAATACCACTTGACTGCACGGTTGGCGCGGTGGCTGGGCAACTGGCTGCAGCGCAATGTTTCGCGGGTTCGATTCCTGCACGGAACAATTCTTTGTGTGATACACAGATTCTTGTTCCGGGTCTGGGTGTCATGTGTATGTGAACTTGTATGTTTGTAAACGCACCCACGACACAGGAGAAAATCCTTTTGTTTTTTTTTAGGGGGGGGGGGAAGATTATCGAAAGACTGCTCCCGCCTGGGTGAGGCGGGAGGGAGTGTCAGACTCTTACTGACTAAAAACCACCCCGTTCCTTCTCCTGCACTTCCAGTCTGAGGGGCTCCGGTAACCCGTTAGGTTCTCCGCGACAAAATCCTAATGTGGGGTAAAGGTTTTTAAAAAAAAAAAAAACTAGTTATGTATGTGCATAGACAACTGATAGGTAGCTAACTACTAAGTAACCAATTCCTTTCTGCGACGTATTTAATAAATAACATTGTTGCAAAACAAACAAGGACCAATATATTTGAGAAGAATAATAATAAGGTACCTACACATGCCATAGCTTGTCATAAGTACTAGGTATTTCCATATCGAGTAAACTGATAAAGTAGGTATATATGTACACAATTGCATGGGAAACTTTTGCCACGTGTAAGATAAATCTTTATTGAAATAAGGATATCGTTGCATTTATATCAATACTAACTACTAACACGTGGTTTCACACGCTCTGCTCAGCTCCTATTGGTCGTAGCATGATGTTTTATAGCCTAAAGCTATCATCGGTAAATGCGCTATCCAATAGAAAAAGAATTATTCAAATCAGACTTGCAGTTACGGAGATTAGCGCGTTCAAACAAACAAACAAAAAAACAAACTCTTCCATTTAGCGAGGATGGCTATAGGCTATAAAACATCACGCTACGACCAATAGGAGCTAAGCAGAGCGTTAGAAACCGCGCGGAAGTAGCCAGTAAGAAAATATGGCGATAGCCGATTAGAGACGCGGTGATTTTTTACCTAGGAACAACTTTACAGCTTTACCTACTAATGCAAAATTATAGTTTCACAATTTCCAAAATAAAATCAAAAATTTTAAGTGTGTTTTGTATTCACACTAGAAATTAATGGGCGTGCCACGATCAAAAGCTTTCTATAATTAATTTCTGTTTCGAAGCTTTTGACTGAATGCGTCTGTATTGTAGGCTGTGGTACAAGTTTTGAACTGTACGCGAGTTATACGCCTTATCTCTGTTTTCAATACTTCTGTGGCATTTAGGTATAAAGCTACTAGCTAAGTGGCCCTTTTAATAAGCTACGCGGTAACTGTAAAGACCCTTGATAAACATAATCGAGTAGTTGACTTGACAGGGTATGAAAATTAAAAATCTAATTGGTCCGTTAGGTAGATAATGGAAAATATTAGACACGTATTTTTTATTTTGTCATACAAGAAAACAATACTTAGATGGTGGTCGCTAAGTCAAACGTTCCTATAAAACGTAGCAAGTTGTGACGTCACACGATATTTGAAATCAATATATCGTCGAGTAAGTTGGAGACTCAGTTGCAAAAGACAAAACAGACGTATTTATCTTTGAAAGAAAAGAAACCAAAAGGACATTTAAAAAGAAATAGGAAAATACCCTATTAAAGCTTGGTTGAAATTGAAACAGCAAAAAAATTAACTTACTTCGTACATTTTAAAGCTAGTAAAGTCTGAATAAATACCTATATTTACTTTTATGATTACACAAGTGTAACCGCAAGATCATACGATCCAATCTAGCCGAAACTAGTTACGGCTAGTTTCAAAAACGTTAGGTCATGGAAAATATTTTAAAACTGTTTATTCAACTTTATAATTCAATAATCGATGTGCAATGTTTATTTCACAATAGTTCGCTAATCACTTCTGACTTGATAACTTGACCGGTGGTTAGATTGGGTAAAGACTACCATTTTTTAAGGGGGAAAGTCATAGAATGACTTCTCTTGTCTGGGTGAGGCGGGACAGAGTGTTAGAATCTCACTGGCTAAAAATCATCCCGTTCCTACTCCTACACTTCGCGCCGGAGCTCCAGCAACCCGTTAAGTCCTCCGCGGTTCCATATCGGCATCAACCCTATTGGGTCACATCTGTGATGGTAAAGACTACTATTGGGGACAAAAC